GCATACTGGCAAAATGCCAGTTGAAATCTAATAATGCCAGTAAAAATTACTCTAACTGGCATTTATTTGCAAGTGACTGTTCATTTTGGACGTTTACATAATTGTTATCTTCTGAGCTGATATGATTGGCAACTGCCAGCTGCAGTAACTGATGACGTTTACCTTAAAAACTTAAAAATAAATTTTAAGTTGCTCTACCGGTATTTATTTTTTCTGTGACTATATTTTGATGGATTATTTATAATAGCCAAACACTATTGGTTAGAGTATCCAAGATGTTTTATCAGAGTCCAATGTAAATGCGTAGCACTCCTCTGTAAAGTGTTTACTTTTAAGCTGAAATATTTATTTATTTTAAGTAGATCAGTACCTCTGAGTTTTAAGGTTGTTGGTGTAATCAAGTACAAAATATGCTAAAATTAATGAAGGTCCTAAGAAATTACATAACATGAACAAGTTTATAACTGTACGTTGTCACCAGTGGGTGTTCCTCTGGTATATCGAATCTGATTCCTTAACAATTGTTTATCATTTATAAATTAATGTGTTGAAATGTTTTTGTTTCGTTACAAGAAGACATCTGTGTTTATCAGTTATAAAGATGATTTTGATATTCAATGGACATTCAAGCTTAATATCAATTTTCATACCAGATGTTCAAAATGCATTGTCATTGTAGATACGTGATCATGGAAATGCCAGTTGACTACCTCATATTGCCAGTTAAACATTTGATCACTTGCAAAAATCTGCAAGTAGAAAATCTTGCTAAATTCTAACCCTGAACTTCCTCTCACTAGTCTCTATAATGGTGTGGAGTTCAGTTATCAGTTGTACTTCAGACAACTACAAGAAAAGCATTGATGCAAAGCATCAAAGGGCGTCCAAGCAAGAAATGCAGCAAGTGAAGATGAACTAGTACACATATGATGACAAGATATTCTTATAAACTACCAGAAATGTATACCACTTATGAATGAGCGGACGAAAGACATTGTTCATTATGAACTTTGATTGGCATGCTAGAGATTAGAATATTACTTGTTATTTCTTTATGATCGTGGTTATTAATAGCAACGGATATACATGTATGCAATCATTTATAATCCATATGTGTAACGCATGATCAACACGTACCACACATTTGTCCCTTATTATGTACATGTTATCGCTATTAGCGAAGACCCCCTTAAGGTATCTGTTCACACTTTAAGTTAGTAAAAATATGACACTGGTTATATTACCATGTTGATCATGTTGAGCATAATTGTTTATTATACAATAATTGTAATATCTATTAATTTTAATTAAAAAAAAATACAAATTATATAATATTGTTTTCTTTTATTCTTTTTTGTGTTTTATGTGCTATTTTAATACTGAGTTTTTACTACTCTTTTTTATTAAAATTGTAAAATAAATTTTAAGAATTCAATTGTCATATTGACCGACGATTATAAGTCAAAGCTTAACTGGAAAAAGTCAGTAAATTATGGTTTATCTTTCAATATATAATATTGTTTATTCTTAAACCATGTACATGTACATTGTATTTTTCTTTATCATTTTTTAAATTATCGATCAATTGAATAATTCATAAAATCTAATTTGTAACTTTGAATAATTCCTCGGCATCTTTACTAAACACGGATAACAAATTGAATAATTAAATAAAATGTTTCAAAGTTGATAATGTCATTTTAATACCATAAAAAATGTACCTTTTTCTCAATTATTGTACATATCACGGATTTATATTACATATAAATCCGTGTACATATTTATTGTTTTTATCTCATATAGATAAAATGAAACATGCTATTGTTGTTTTTTCTAATTGTAACGATATCAAACATCTACTCCAAAACCGGGAGAGACCGGACAATAAACGTGTGGTACTATTCGCCGGTCACTAGTAAATCCTGGTCAAAATAGACCGGGAGAGACCGGCATTTACCGATAGGAGTGATAAAAAGATATATCTATAAATAGGTTTTTGGAATATTTAGGTCATCAAACTGATCGTTCTAGGATACATGTACAACAATAACATACCATGACATGATAACCGACTGTGTACTACAAAATGATAAATAAAAAACCCCGAAGAGCGCGATTTATTGACGGAAAAGGTTATTTCATTTGTAAATGTTTGCATTGCGAAAATTCATTGTAACATATCGCGACATTTCATTCTTATTTAATAATCAAGCACCCTCATACCGATCGGAATTTTCGGCTTTTATTATGACCGACTAAAAGGCTCGAGAAGTTGCTGTCGCCCTTTCACAAAATCTGATCTCATTCCATAAGAGCGCCGCGCTTCGGCGCGGACGCCAATTATTAACTTAGGGGACATAAATTTAACAAGGATGGATTAATGGTTCTTGGACAATGCAAGTTAAAGTTTTAATCAAATTCCTTCAATTTTTTAAAATAATTTAACTGAGACAAGAATGTTACAGACAGACATTCCAAAATATAGGGTTTATGGGCTTTTTGTTTGATCTTTAAGTGGCATTTCTTTGATCTTTAAGAGGCTTCTATTCATAAACCAGTGAAAATTACCACTTAAACTGATGTTTTATCTAATTTCCATCTTTCTTTTTTAAAACTAAGGATATCGAAAGAATGAAGCTTGTTACATTATGGCTTGTACTGACAAGGCTAATGTGCTCTACCTTTCAGGGCATACGATTTTTATTAAAGCTGAACCATTAAAGTTTCTGTAATTAAGGCCGATTACATGTGTAATACATGTTTATCAATAATTTGACAAAATAAAGTAAACATAAAAACAACTTAACACAGTCAGTACTTCTTATTATCTTGAAATTATACTGATAAGGAAAACTACAGCAAAAAAATTTCTTGTGTTTACTCTAGAACTCAAGAGCTTATCAATGTTAATTGAAATAGCCATTGCAAAACGGTTACTATAATAATTTCTTATGCATCAAATGGACAAATTACATGTAGACAAATAATATAACATTATAACAAACAATAAGACTGGAACTAAATCACTAATTTTTTTTTTGGTCAGAGTTATCTTGATACATGTAACATACTAGTCCTGTTCACATGCAGTTTTTTTTTAATTTCAAACTTAACCATTATTTGAATGTGATCATGCACCATTCATTTGTAACCTAGACCCAATTAACATATTCAAAACATATTGCATACTTAACTTTGAGATCAGCAAATCACTGAAAGGTCCACAGACACTTAGGGGTCAGATCCTGGCCCACGACTTGATCCAGCACTGTAAACTGTCAATAAGGACCTTTTAACATACATGGGGCAACTGTCTTAATCATTAAGTCAAGTCAAGTCTCAAAAAAAAGTACAGATTGCTGACGTCAAGATTTCAGACTTCAAAATGTAAACACCAATTCCTGGTCTAATGAATCTGCGAAGACTCTGTGCCTTAATGTTTGTGCCGATGTTTCACCTTCAAAACAGGACATTGTTTGTGTACCTGCTTAGCAAATGCTTAGCACAGGGCCAGGAACCTTCTAGAATTTTTTAAACCTGACCCTAAATTTACTTATGAAATTATGAATGTTGTTTTGGGTGTAAGAATGTGATTTATAGCTGTTGATTCTATTGTATGCACATAAATGGGTTTGGTAAACTATTGAGAAGTGTTAGTTACTGTAGCTCCATTCACAACCCAGTGTAAAACCTTATTATGTACATACGTCGAAATAAATTCACTTTAAGTGTTAATTAGTGAATTATTTATAATACACAGCTGCATCATACTACCATATTTGGTAGTATACACATCACTTGTGACATGTATGCATTTAAAATGTGTAATGACTAAAGGAGGGTTTATTTTGAAAATGGGATAAAGGTGCATCATTTGTAAAATAGTTTGCCGTGGACTTGAAATTGGCATACATGTGATATGAAATGTTCTGTAAATTTAAAAAGAATAAATTCCTGCGCGACAGGAAACGCACTGATTCAGATTGTCCTGGTGACACGATAGCTCAGTTGGTTAGACCACTAGCTGTCACTCCCGAGGTCCCGGGTTCGATCCTGGGTAACACCCTTGGGATTTTTCAGAGACACTTTCAGTGTTTCCCACTTAACTAGAGGTGTACTGGTAAGAAATCCTTGCATGTATCAGTGCTATACACTGGGCATGTATGATGTAAAAGAACCATGAGGTCTATTCAATAAGAGCTAGGGACTGGTTCCCGGTTTCCCTTGTATCTCATAGATTTCTCTGAATTGACTAATCTAGTGTCATGTTTATGTCCCCGCGAGGGGTTCGACATTAATGGAAGATAGAAAGATAGATAGATTGAATCTCGATCATTGTGTCAAGGCCGTAAAAAACGCGCTCTGAAAGAAACCCTTTATGCGGATTGCCCCGTGTTAAAATGTTAAAAGCTTTTAATTGCCACTGTTTACAAGGGCAGATAAAACTGTTGGTCAGGGTCTGACCCCCACTACAACTGTCACAAATCAAAAGTATGCATACTGACTACTGTAAATTGTTTCAAGTTGCAATTATCATATTATGTTTATTATCTTAAGCCTCATTACCAGTAATTGAATGATTACAAAATTACAATACTTATTTTATTACCTTGAAGAAAACAAGAAACCTTTCACAATAAGGTCCTGCTGCATGTCCTGAAATCACACCAGTGTTGTTTTTTTATCACGTACAGCAAGACAGCAAGACGGGACTGTCGCGAAATCTGGTTTGTTTCCACAACTTTTCAAAATTAGAGTTCGTCATTATCTTATAGCATACGTGGCTCTAAACATGGAGAAGGGGAAAACGTGACCGTTCTATTAATTATGCTGTAACTAATTTGAAAAAGTTACCTTACCTGTTTGATTTGACAAATTTCTCCTCAATTTCACCGGTGAATGTGTCACTACCAATACAGCAAGCGGTGACCTGATTGGCTAAAAATAAATATTTAGTCATTCAGGTGTGACAACCGGTGAAAAGGTAATTTTACGACCAGAAAATAAATCCTATCAGCAGATACTCATGTATGAGTAATCTATTCACTGTTGTGACCAGTCTCATCCGATGATCGGCTGTAATTTATCGCTTATGAGATAAATGTAAGATAGGATAACTTAAATTTGCAAAATTGCGGATAAAATCATGGTTTAAATTAGTTTTCACTTGTTTTTTTTCAAAGAGTACTGTAAAGTATATTTCCATATTTTGAATATCTATTCAACTGTTATTGTTAAACAGGAGTATATTGACAAGAGTATTAAAATTAAAATTTAGTAGAAGATTAAGTTCTCGCAATGTCCTGTCATATAGGCTTTTGGCCTTATCTCTACAGGTTCTTCTTGCATTTCAATCACCATGCATTCTGAAAAACTTTTCTTCCAACTACCTTTCCTCAGCATCAGCATTCAAGGCTTGCAGCTATAATAGAAGAAGCTCACAGCTTCCAATGAAAATAAGAACACCCTGTGAATTGATTGATACCAACAGAAATTCAGTCGTAACAGATAATATATACTTTAAGAAACCTGCAGAAAGCTTGTATATAAGCTCTGTCTGTAATTGAACCATTTTTTTTTCATACTGTCAATCTGTTGGAAAAGACATCTCCCATCAAAAATAATCTTGATGTCTCTGATGAGAAGCTTCTGAATCCTTACAAAGAACTTTAATTCATCTTAGGATTCTGGTCTCAGAAGCTGTCATAATACCTGGTCCGAGTGATTTTTTAGAGCCATTTTTAGATGGGGGCCATTAAACTCGCCCCCAATTCCTCTCCCCAGAAAATATGTATTTCCGCCTACAATTTCCCCAATAATTGGGCCCTGCCACTATTCCTCTATAAGAAAAAAGAAAACACTGGGTCCCTTTTTTGGGACCTGCATGTAGACATACCCTTTAAGTCACGCCAGAAGTCTGCTTCCTGGGTTTTTGAACCAGTAGTTCCACTAGTGTGGATTATGGAAATCACTACAAGTGGGATTTGAACCCATCACCCCATGACCTCCAGATTAAGAGTTTGGTGCTGTACCCTCACACTTCTTCCTTGGTTTTTCCGGTAATTGATATTAAATTTTTACAAAACTTTGAAACATTAAACAGAATGATTCTTGACAACTTAATTGTAGCAATACTCTTTTCCCTCCTGGCTCCCCCTCCACACACAATTAAACACACAAGTGGGAAATAGCAGGGAGTCTGACACAAATCATCAAACACAATGAGTACATGTGTCCACTGGTCTAGTCATATGGATTTTAATACAGCCATGCATGTTCATCTATTTTAGCAGCAAAAGAAAACTTCTATATTAATCTTGCAGCTCTTGTGAGAACAGACAGAAGATAAAAACTTTGCCCATTTTTCAGGGTCAATCTCTGCACCGCTCTTGTGAGGCAGGTGATATATTGACAGTGGTGCGTTATAATAATGGTACATTCTTATTATTTAAATTTTAAAAGTAACCATCTTTTAACAGTAGTCAATAATATGCAGTAGTCATGCAGCAAGAAACATAACTTGTTTACATTACTTAATAAAGAAAATTTGATGATGCCAATATATGACAAACACATATATAATGATGTAATAATATTTAACATTACAATCTGTCATATCATAATAAATGTTTTAACATTACAGTGCTCCAGGAACTATAACTCCAGTGTCACAAGTTTGAAACCTAAGTTGAGCCTGCACATCTGTACAGACTGACCAGACTCTATATTGTTTGCTAACCAAGTTGGACAAGTCTATTGAGGTATGGATCATATTAGCTAATAAAAAATATCTTTTAACTTCCTTGAGAGATAAATGCGTTCAACAGGAAGCTGTTTGTAGGTAATATCATTAATTTCCAGGAAATGATACCATCTCAATAAGCGGCAGATATAATTGTTTGCTCAGTGTTTGTCAACCCTTGCTTATCATTGTAAAGAACATACAGGCAAATATTTACATGTATATGTTTCATTTATAACTTTGCTTGAATTTAGATGGATCTGATTTAAACTGAGTTATAACTTCAGTGCCCAGTAAATCTTAAAATTTGTCTTAATACATAAAAATATAATAGTGAGAAAGGAAGAAGATAAGATGAAAGCCATTATTATAATAATTGCACTAAATTACAAAAAAAATGATGTAAAGTAAATAGAGTTTAGATCAAAATGAGTATTTATATGTAAATGCCATCAGAAGTACATGTAAAAATGGCTGATTTAAAAGATATAGATGTTTTTAAGTGAATTGATTATTATAATTGTACATGTATTTAAACTTAAGTTAAAAGAGGATATTTTAAATATGATGTTGTAATTTATTGATTGGCTTGCCAGAAACATTGTTTCCCCAATTATCTCTGGCTAAGCCTAATTGATACATGTATCATTATTTATATTTACAGGTATAAAGGATTGAATGAAGATAAAAACAAGTAACTTTTGACTACAAATGAAATATATCTTAAAGGAGAATTTAAAACACTATGAATAGAATACATCGGATAAATGTTTTTTGATAGCTTGGTTATTTTATTAAGACATCATACTTATTGAAAATGTGCACAAAGCTTCATGTGTCAGCATACACAAGAAACTTACATATTTTATCTTATAGTCTTAGCGGGAATTTAGTACCAGGCTTCTACTTCAAACACTTTACAACTATTTGTTATACGCCATATAAATATTTACTAAAACATGAGAGACTTCAGCTTACAGCTGACATTCAGAGGTCAATGAGGTCATATAGTGACACCGTTAATTATAATTCAACAAACAATTCGTCTACAATATTCTCGTTATCATCTGGCCATGGTAAATGTGGTGTGGCAGTTGTAAGGATTTCAGGACCATGTGCTTTACATGCCTTAACATTGATTGCGCAATTGAAGCATGCTGCAAAACCAAGGGAAGCAACTCTTAAGAAATTGATTGATCCAGAAACAGGAGTAGTTATTGACAAGGGACTTGTCATTGCATTCCCAGGTGAGAAAATGTTATCATATGGAACAATTTTAAAGAGAAAAAAAACAGTTAAGAAGAAAATAGGAAATTTTTTTTCAATGTTTTTCTTAATAGTAAAAGTACACACTAAATATAACAGTCTGACAGGGTTTTGTTTAACTACAATTTTAGAGCCTGACTTGAAATACATTAATGTTTTGGACTGATAGTGTTAGTAAATTCATTAAATTCTTGGTTTTAGTTTTGCCACAGTATAGAACTGCTCACTAATTTGGGGAGAAAATAGTTATAGTAGCTTGACAGCTCCATCTGTAGATCAATGGAACCGTATCCCCGAGGGTCTCAGGTTTGAGTCCTTTAGGCTGCACATGTCTCTCCCCCTCCCCTCCCCCCCCTGATTAGTCAACATCAGTCTTCAAAATTATTGAAGATATTCTGGTGAAACATAATACTTGTATGCAGGATTAAAGATCACTTTTCAAGGCCCTGCTCATAATTCTGCCATTGATCAAACTGACTGATGGCTGTTTGTGAACTTTTAAAATTCCTGTTTAATTTCTGTTTATATTTCCAAGCCAATAACTGTTGCAATTGTATTTTGAAAGAAATAGTATGCCTTATTTTGATTTTCCTTGTACAAAAAATCAATATCAAATTCATATTGGACTCCTACCATGATTTTCTGAGTCCAAAATATACATATCAAACCTACATTGCTTTCAGAGTAAAAAGTCCATAACTTCAATCGACTCTGCTAGTGCCTCATCCAATAAAGGTTTTACAGTCATGAGCTTATTCAGAAGAATTCAATATTGTATTCAATAATTTATAATATTATCATAGTACACAGAGGACTTCAGTGGTGTTGATTGTACTTCCATTTTATTATTTATTGTTTCAGGGCCTCATAGTTTTACTGGAGAAGACTGTGTTGAGTTTCAAGTACATGGAGGCCCGGCAGTGGTGACAGCTATACTGTCAGCATTGCATAAAATACCAGGCTGTAGGCAAGCAGAACCAGGGGAATTTACAAAAAGGTATCAAAATTACCATGTTAGAACTTGTATGGCAGGTATAGCACTTAGTTTATAAGTTTAATGTTTTCAAATTCTTTTAATGTGATAGCACTGTACACACCTATTGGTTCATGGATTTACTATATGAAAACACCTATGCCATTAAAGGTTATTAAAACAATGGTCACTTATACAAAGTACACTGAAATAACTTCACATTAATGACACTTTTAACTTAAGGCACATTCATTCTCAGCAATCCAAGAAAGGGGAAAAAAATAGTAAAAATGGTCAGCTATGTGTTACAGGTTTATGTTACTATTGTTATGTACTCGTAATTGCCAGAGAAAAAAACATCCGTAATACTGCTGATGAGTATATGGATATATATAATCATTAGTAAAATCTAAATGATAAACTCTAGCTGGTGGAATATGGATGAAAAATATCGGTATTTAGACAATTTCATCTGCAATACTAATTTCAGTTTTTCAGAAAGTAATTTGATTCCAAATATGATACTACATGTATTACTCTTTATGTCCAAGAAGCAGACTCATTAAAGTGTCCATGCAGATTCATCCCACTCTATATTGTTTGCATACTAACTTCACCATTTTGATATTTAGATCTCTAAGATCAACAATAAACAGTTTAAAATTAAATGTCCATCAGGATAAGTGTTAAGTTTATTGAGTTATGAAAATGTTATGTAATTTTCTTTGTCTATTTTTATATAGAGCATTTATGAATGATAAGATGGACCTGACCGAGGTGGAGGGTTTAGGAGATCTGATACATGCAGAGACTGAGGCCCAGCATAGACAAGCCCTCAGACAAATGGAGGGTGACCTCAGTAAACTGTACAGTAAATGGAGGGCAGCATTCATTAAGGTAGGTTAAATTCAAAGCAGTAAGTTAAATTAATCAACTTCATTATCTGTTCATAGACAAAATCACATCATTATACATATGACCTTCATGATAATTAAGTAGCAATAAATTTTGAAAATTTATTTGATTGAAGAAATGTTTAACTTTACCACAATCTCTGTACCATTAACCACTTTAGTGGAAGACACAACAATTATGGAGAAACACTTTTCATTTTATCATGTAAGCATTGGGTATTGGGTATATACTTGTATATGTGTAGCTATACAAGTCTTCAAGATGTAAAGGTTAGGGTTATAAATTGTTTGTCTTGGAATGATGAAAGTTTGAATGCTACAAGTGATGTTGGATTCTATCAGGATAGGAAACAATCTAGTTATCTACTTTTATAATGTAATGTCTATCAACTAAACAGTGTTGATTTGATATGAAAATATTACGAAGAATCATATATATAATGTATTTTATTACAGTGTGCTGCAGATCTAGAAGCTTTCATTGACTTCAGTGAGGATCAAGATATAGAAGAACATGTTTTAGAACATGTTAAACACAGTGTACAGTCACTACAAGATGACATAAAGAACCATCTTAATGATAAGAGACAAGGTGAAAGATTGCGTGAAGGTGTACATGTTGTTATCATTGGAGAACCAAATGTGGGCAAGAGCAGTTTACTCAATGCTATTTGTAAGTTATATTTGTGTTTATTCAAAATGTGTGATATGATAATCAAGGGCATTAACTTTGTATCTATGTATTGAATTACTGTGTTAGAGTTATGTTATCTTGCCTTTAAGCTTAATTGTTCAAATGAAGATATATCAGTGTTATGCTGGTACATAATATTTTCTTGCATGTCAGACAGGATTTTCTACCGTTTACACCGGTGCTAGAAAACCCTGTCTTACAACCCCCATGTAAGACAAGTCGTGTGCCTTAAATGATGTCATTGTCAAGCGCCTTTTATGAATGAATTGCGTTCTTAGGATGACGTCACTTAACCGTTATGAATGAAGTTGTACGTTGATACGCTACTATAAGAAAAAGTGAGTAATGAGAATATCCGTTTTCGTAATTTCTGTTCTGAAAATAATTGATATGTAATATGCAAGAAAAAGAATCAAACACCGGCTGTCGTTGTAACAGACGTGAAAAATGTTTTGTTCTAAGGAATAAGGAAAAATAGTATTGTTCTACTGTTAATAAAATGTTGGATTTTCAATACAGCAGTTTTAATAATTATAAGTTTATGACCTTTATTTAAAGATGAAAATATCACATGAATGATTATATTCTATATAACAGTTTGACACAGTTTGATTTTTTTGTAGGCATGTGCAGTCTCCTTACATCCATATTCTAAATGTGGCTCCACTACCTTTGCTACATTCATAGTGTAGAGTAACTACAAGTAGAGCCAAAATGATGATTTTATTTTAATAATATAGAAAGAATGTTCTTAAGAGTTGTGTATTTGTTATTTACAGGTCAGAGGCCGGCAGCTATAGTAACTGATATAGCAGGTACAACTAGAGATCTTATAGAAACTCATATAAATATAGGAGGCTATCCTGTCTTACTGAGTGATACTGCTGGACTCAGAGAAACTCAAGATATTGTAGAGATTGAGGGGGTTAATAGAGCTCTTAAAAGGTATATAGATATTTTACTATACATGTACATAGATGAAACATTGCCTTGGATCTAAGCACTTTATATTGTATTATAAATATGTTGTCTTCATTGATAAAGTTTTGACTGTTTATCAGGTTTAAGGTCGAGGTCACATATTCATGTTTTAAGCAAAATATTTGACTTTTAAAAGATTGTCCTTGAGTTAATACAGGACCTTCATCTATAATATCATATTAAAATCATGTATAAAAAGTAAAAAATCAGGTTATTAAGGTCAAGGGCTAAGGTCACGCTACGGTGTAAATATTTAACATTGAGGCTTTTCTTTAATGTTTGTCATGTGAAATAAAACGTTTCAGAAATAAGACATTTTACAAGATAATCATTATTTTGATGTGATTTACTGATAATTAGGTTTATTTTTAGTTGCTTGTTATTTATTTGTTTTTCTATTTCTTGATTTCAGAGCAAATGAAGCAGATGTTAAAATAGTTGTACTTGACGTATCTAGTCACAAATTCAACAATGTTATGAATACAGCAGATTTTTTATCAAATTATTTCGCTAAACTTGGTTTAAAAAGTACAGTAGAGGAATCAAATAATGTTATTCCAGACTCAGCATCTAATAATTTTGGAAATATAGTTCAAGAAAGCTTATGTGATAATATTGGAAATGAATTTAAAGATTTTTCAAATACTATTATTGTCTTTAACAAAGTTGATTTAGCTAGAAACCGTAATTATTCCGAGGTTTTAAAAGCATTTAGTACATGTAATAGTGATAAATTAGGTAAAAGAAATAATGTTTGTGAAAATCTTGAAACTTTTAAATATGATATTTCTAATGATAAACAATGTGATATAAATAACAACATTGATGTTAACCTTGACCTTAGAGATGAAAGTAAAGGGTCAAGAGAAGGTCAAATGTCAGCAGCAGTGTGTTTAATTTCATGTGTTACTGGAGAGGGGATGGATAATTTCCTGGATATTCTAAAAACGATGGTAGCTGTCATGTAAGTTGATAAAGAAGTTCTTCCTTCTGTAAATTAAATGTTTATTAAGGTTAATACACAAGTTTATACTCCCCTTGTGGGTAAGGGGTTGCCTATAAGGGTTAAGGTATTTAAATTGAAGCCACCATTTATCCATGCATAATTTTAAGAGGCAACTAAATGGGCTTGAATTACTGTTTTGGCACCATATGACCTGTCTTGTTTGGTCTCTACTTTAGGTGACTTTGTTCACAGGTTTAACTTTACACTGCTTGGTGATTAAATTTTGTAATTTTACTATTTTGATATTAAAATCCCTAACAATGGTTGACAAATGTATTGCAGGTCTCATCCAGTGCAAAAAATTTAGCTAACATTTTTTTTATCTTTTTTTTTTTATTGCAGGTGCGGAAATCCTCTGAGTGATCATCCGAGTTTAACACAAGCTCGGCACCGTTCTCACCTGACCAAGTGTCTCAGCCACCTAGAGCAATATCATATGATGTCAGAACACAGAGACGTTGTTCTCGCTTCAGAAGCATTACGATGTGCCCTCACAGAAATTGGAAAAATTACCGGGAAAATCTCATCGGAAGAAATTCTTGATGTTATATTTAGAGATTTTTGCATAGGAAAATGAAAAACCAAATGTTTTTACAACATATAAGTGCTGGTTGATCTTTCTTCTTTTTTTTAACAAATATATGGAGATAAAATAATTTATTTTCTTGGTTGATCTTTATTTTTGAAAGTAATATATGAAGATAGAATAATGTATGTGTTAAGGCAAGAAAAAAAGAAATATATATATAAAAAGAAAAATAAAATAAAAGAGAAATAAAAAAAATGGATTAAAAGTTTTATATGTGTTTATCATTTTATATTACCTGGTATTATATAGGAGCTGCTGCTTCAGTTAGTTTAACATTTTACATAATGTATTACTGAAACTTTCCTATATAGGGGACATAACAGCTTAAGCCGATTCCTTTATTTACCAGAGTTTGTATTAAAAAACTTGTTTTGCATGGTTTTTCCTATTAGTCTTCCTGTGTTAAGTGGCAAATCTTTCAAATCTAACCTTTATTCTGAAGATCAACAAGTATTAATCACTTTATGTTTTTTACTAGTATTTTTTCCTATACATGTACATGTTATGTTGTTATTACATTTCAGTGAAAACAATACACATGTCTATTATTATACATGTATTTCATTTTGGAGATTTTTTGTGAAAATGTTTTTTTTAACCATAAGAAAACAACGAAACCAATCTGATTTAAATCTGCTCCTAAATAACGCTATGCATTATGCAGTCAGGTTGAGCTCATTATACATGTACATGCACTGTGATATACATGTACATGGAATTTTATTTTGTAACTGCCTGTAGAAAATGAAATGTCACTGAAATTAAATATAATCAGATGACAAAGTTTATAGAGAGGCTAGGATAGATGATTACCATCAATTACCCAATCATCTCAATTGTTTCACCTCGACAATGATAGAGATAATGACCGTAGTTGACAACAATTTATGTTTATTTATCTTCCAACAAATTGTCCAAAATGAGAAAAATAGGGAAGAGAATGGATGATTTCCTGTAATTTCAAACAATTTTCTAGAAAGGTCAGTTTGAATATGCATGTTAGAGATAACTGTTTAAGTAATGAAATTGCCTATTATAATACTTGGCTTTGAGCTGTCACTGAGACATCAGCTTAACATCATAGTTCCTAGGATATTTGTATAGGCAAGTTTTCTTTTGCATTTCACATTTTGAAATAAATTTTATTAAGTAATATTTCTTTACTACATGTTGTATAAATACAAGTAAGCTTCATTTTTTGTATTATCTTAAACTTGATATCAAGGTGTTGTATAAATAAATTTCTTAATTTTGGATGTTGTTATAGGATGCATTTTTCAAGACATCTAAACCAGTTTTATTAAACTTCTAGTAATCAAAGGACATAAATTTGTTTAGATCCTGTGGTCATTATTGATATTTTTTTGCTTTTTTATTGTTTAAGAACCACTAACTTTGAAAGCATAAAACCAAACAGCGAATTTAGAAAATATGCAATATCATCTTTACTATTTGAAATATCATTAATTTCATTATTTATGACATTTTGCCATATGAGAAAAAAAAAATTTTCTTGCTTCATCACTGAAACAAATAAAATAGATTTATCTTTTATTTTTGAAAAGCTATTACTTGTTATTTAAATTTAGGTTAAAAAGTTTAAGGAAATGATTTTCTTTTTGTTCTTTGTAGGCAATAATTTAACATATTGCTAGAACAGTATTTAAACTTTATTTTCTAGACTAGCTGGTATTAAAGCAGACATGAGGCTGGTACTAAACCTGATAATGTTGACATTTATTGGTGTCAGCGGACTGCCAATACATGATCCTGCATCAGCAGTAAATAGTAGAGCCCTTAAATCGTTCAAGGAACTTACTGATAAGCTGAATGGCTTGAACTTAGAAATGAAGAGAGACAGTCAACCAGAATCTGCAGCTGCAATACAGGGGGCAATCAAGCAAATGGCTGACAAAGCTCAAAGTTTGATGGATACAGTGTCATTGAAAAGGAGAGTTCTGAAAGAAAATCTGATGTCTGACAATGTAAGAGATTCAGAGGATGCTTTTAAGAAGGTTTTTGGTGTGCTGGCTTCCAATAAAAGGGAATTACAAAACCGATTGTTGTTGAAAAAAGATCAGCTTTTGGGTCAACTTGGACAAAATGCTAAGAAAATAGCTTCTATGAAGGCAAGAGACTTTAACAATAATATCAAACGGGGTCTAATGTTAAAACGTGACCAGCACATGAAGGGAATAGACAGAATAGCTGAAAGCATTTTAGGTTTGAAATCACTTGATGTCAGAAACTTGAAACCTAGTTTAATGGGAAAACTGAAGAAAGATGTCGGAGAAACACAATTAGCACATTTTGACTGGTTCCCATTTAAACAGGAAATGCTTCAGAAGTCTGAAAGAGGTTTAAAACAAAGAGATGAAAGTGAAAATGACCATGCAAGACTCTCTTCTGATTTTGACTGGTGGTTCCCAATGAAACAAAGAAGTCTACAAGATAGTCAGAAAGATATTAAATCTGACAGGGCTGTGAAAGAAGATTTGCCTGATAAGAGCATTGCAGAATCTGTACAAGAAAAGGCTATTAGAGATGTACTAGGTAACATTGCCTGGGACTGGAAGAAATCAACCTTTTACGAGCCAATGAGTGCAGATAGTCTCAATTGAGGTCAAGACAACCAACACAATTTTATTTTTGAAGTTCTTCAGTAACTAATGGTTGGCGATGGTTTTTCCTGCCTATGACCCAATCGCGTACCTTGATCATGAATACAGATGTCATGTACATATAAATCTGAACTTTCATGTACATTTACAATTTATATACATTAAAGTAAATAGAAATTAATTTCTTGTTATATTAATCTATATTTATTTACTGAATTTTCCAACCAAATGTCTTTTATTAGAGAAATTCTTTTCAAAATAAAAATAGTGTCTTCTTAGGTTTGATTGATAGATTTCCTAGTTCTACAATTTATATACTTATATGGGACAATGTATATACTTAACTACCTTAAAGAGCAACAAAATTTTGTTTTTTAAACATAATTTTTTCTCTTTAATTCATTTTAAGGTACAAGGTAGAAATATTTTGATGGAGAAATTCTGCTATTTAAGGCAATGGAAGTGCCCTAAACCTTCCAAACATTTAAAATTCCAAATATCTAAGCTCTTGGCATTGTACCTATTGTAATACAGGAGAGTTTATTGTTTCAAAAAACGTTTCAAAGGTTTTATATAAAAATATTTATTATATATCGATGACCTAAACATGTACTTTCAAGTCATGTTAGCACTATCAAGGTCATATAGTAATATTCCAGCTTTCACAGGTGGAAGGACAATAAATCCTGTACAACCTAGTGTTACCCCAACAGGAAAACTATATTTCTAATTAATTAAACTACATGAAATATGTTCAAGTCATATGACAGTTGTAGAAAATTGGTCCTTCACTCCAGTGTTGCTGTATTTTTCTGGTCCTTAAGGATTATTGATTCCAGCAATAGTAAAGTGTTGAAGATGGAGTACCACTAAAAGCCAGTGCTAGGGGATGTGAGATGTTGTATTTTACATGACCTTTCATGAGGAATTTTCATATGAGCCGCGTCATGACAAAACCAACATAATGCGTTTGCGACCAGCATGGATCCAGACCAGCCTGCGCATCCGGGCAGTCTGATCAGGATCCATGCTGTTCGCTATCAGTTTCTCTACTTGTAATAGGGTTGGTAAGCGAACAGCATGGATCCTGATCAGACTGCGCGGATGCTCATATTCAGTTGTCACTGCTTCTTAGGGATCACCCATTTCCATAAAAATGTCCAAGGGTCATGAAATAATCATGAGCAAAATGAGATTCATAGCACAAGGTTTTTGTATATCAGTCATTGTATCCTAACAGCAGATGTTTAAATGAATACTTGCTTTTAGTTCTAATTAATTATAAAGGACAAGAACAAAATAACCATTTTCTGTGCATTTATTTTTATTCTTTACCTCTTTTATAAGTAACATAAGCTTTTTATCGCTACGTTAAAACATAATAAATGAGTCATGCCCAGTTATATAATGTAAATGAGTAAATCATGTTGGGAACTAATACCTCTACAGAAAAAGCATAATATAATGTATATAATACATACAAAATAAAGGCAAAACAAAAAAAATAACTGTTGTGTCAGCTCCAGAAATAATTCACAAAAAAATCATATTTTCTCAGCAATGACATATTAAGTTTGAGAATAAATTTCATGATTTTTACAATTTCTCAATCAATCAATGTTTATATTGAACAATAAATGAACAACCTGACAAAGTATAATTAATTCACCATAATTTTATGTAAAAGTTAAACGGGTTTCTTCCAGAGAAAAGCAAAATGGCTTACAATACAGCTAAAATATGATTTACCTTTCTGGTTTTATTGTGTACAGTTTTATAAAAACTAGAAATATTTCTTTAAAAATCTGTTTTTCTCTTATTTATGTACAATTTCTATCTTTATTTCTCTACAAACTTCTGTAAAAACTAAGGTAATGATAAATTCATAATATTTGTATTTAAAACTATTTACTATGACAGTATGTTTCTCCGATAACTCAAGAAACTTTTAACAAAAATCAAGTCTTAAAGTTTGTCCATTTTTAACAGTAAAATATAAACTGACCACAAAAAATTGAATTTAAACTGTATACAATTTTGGCATAGTGATTACTGTGATTTATGTGCTAGATTATCTTTACCATGGTAACACAAAAATGTATTCTCCTAAATTCCATTTGAGCTGCGTCACGACAAAACCAACATAACCAGCATTGATCCATGCTGGTCGCAAACCCATTATGTTGGTTTTGTCGTGACACGGCTCATTTCATCTGTTATACTATTATACCCAATGATTATGTAATAATTTTTTTTTATAAATTATTATAAATTTATCTATATATAAAGTAAGTCCTAGAAGTGGAAATATGTTTAAAATAAGTCCCAGGTCTGGCCAATTGGTTTATACATGTTAAGCTTTAGGGTTTCACAGTCATAGAGCTTAGATAACTTTTTGTAAGCTTATGTTACAGGTACAAAACAGTAATATATAAACCTTGATAAAAGTACTGGTAAATACATGCTATTCTTACATGTACAAAGTAACACATGTTTTCACATTCATTACCTCGTATTTGAGACATAAAATAAGGGAACACATGCTTTTTCAACAGTTTAAAAGAGGGACTTAACTTGTAGAAAATAATCTAGTGTATAAAGAAAACAGACATATTTTAAACAGTGAAGTAAAACCACCTTCAAATAAACCGGCTAAGGTGTGATTTGGACAAAATACAAAGATAAAAATAACTTTGGTTTTGTTAAACATCTAGTTATTATTTCATTTCCCTCAAAGTTTTATTATGCATTATGATTAATTTAACAGTTTGGACAATAAAATAATTTCACTGGTATCTTTAAATTATCATGCTTCACAAGGTAGAATTAAAAGCAATGAGCTTGTGGTTTCAGTAGGTGGTATCTTCTAACATGCAAGTACATGCAATAGAATGTCCAATTCCCATCCACAATATCCATTACTACAGTATTATATATACTTAAAGGTAATCAAAATATACAAAACTGTACAAAGAATATACACCAACAGCCAATTTATTAAAATAAACAGTAAAGATTATATTGTATTTTAATCATTATATCTTTTTTTTATTACTATTAAATATATTTAATAATTTTATTATAAAAATGTTTTACGGGGAATAATCAATTTTCTTTATAAATGAGCCACGTCATGACAAAACCAACATAATGCATTTGCGACCAGCATGGATCCAGACCAGCCTGCGCATCCGCGCAGTCTGATCAGGATCCATGCTGTTCGCTATCAGTTTCTCTACTTGTTATAGTTATAGAGTTTGTAAGCAAACAACATGGATCCTGATCAGACTGCGCGGATGCACAGGCTGGTCTGGATCCATGCTGGTCGCAAACCCATTATGTTGGTTTTGTCGTGATGAGGCTCATATAATTATTGTATATGAATAACATTTAAAATGGAAACTAGAAGCAGCATTATGCAACTTGAGGCTAATTACTTTAATCCATGACCAATGAATGATGTATGCAGTAAGGCTTTTAATATGCAAAATTCTTTTAAAATGTCACAGTACAATATGTTCAATTTCTCATCCATTCTGACTGATAACATTTATTATCATTCTTTGAAGGCCATTACTCTGTATTCTTAATTTCCAATCTTGTTTTGATTCAAGTTAAAACCTTCAGTTGTAAAAGAAACAATATCAATTAAATTATATACTACTTCTTAATTTGTAAAAAAAAAGATTTCATTAAATATATTCAATAAATAAATTATAACAATATTTATCAGTTAAAATGTGTAAAATGTTCTTTTGAATAATAAACACATTTCTTTTTTATAAACAATGCAGAAAGTTGACATTTTATAATTTACTGTTCATGGTAAAATGTGCATGAAGAAAGAGAGTTAACCTATGGCATTAAAAGATAACCTTGCATATTATATAAAATGATATGTATGTGTTATGTATGTGAAATCATAGTACATGCATAAATGTATATAATATTCAGTCTGGACTGTGACACAGATATTTCACAATCAACATATCATACAAGCAATAGGAATATAAGCTACAGAGGGACCAGTCTGAAAATATCAGCATTTGATTGGTGCATTTAAAACAAACAGACCAATAGAAAGGCTGTATTTTCTGACTGGTTTACAGAAATATAACTTTGCAGAATAAGATGTATCAAGGTTGTACATTTACAGTCTAGGGCAGCCAATTGTATCTCTTATGTTTACAACAAATTTTCTCCTCAAAATCTAAGCTATCTCCAAAACCCTGCTGTTTTTTTCGCAATTAAAAACAAAGAATAAATTAAACAGATATGGAACTTGTTTTTAATCTAATTTCCTTTATTACCAAGAACCACTTCAATTCACTTACATTCTTAGGCATATCAATTGATAGTGTTGTCTACAAATTCTTAACAAATTTGAGAGATTCACCATTTTGATCGTCATCTAAGTCTAGTTCACAGAAAATAAATGACAGAATTCTAGGTCAAATTTAGAAGACAACAAAAGTTAAGTTCTTGTTTAAAGATACATTACATTATAGAGGCTGTTATAATACACAGAGCTAAACAAAGCAAACAAAAATAAAACCACTGTGTCTAACTGTTCACAATGACTTGCAGTACAAACAATAATTGGTAGTCTTAAACAGAAGTAATTTTCTCTTGCAAATACACAAGAAGTTTCTGGATGCAATCACTGTTTATACCGCATATTAGTGAAACAGGTTACACACAGTGGAAAAACTACTGTTTATACCACATATCATTGTAACAGGCTACACACAGTGGATAAACTATCACTACTTACATGAATATTGCAACTGGAGTATAAATAAATTTGTGATATTTGTACCAGTATACAGTAATAATAAGACATAATGTAAAAAAAGTAATAAAAACAACAATGTACAAGTATGACTACAAAACAAAAAACAACCTTTACAAAATCAACAGTGTATAAAAAATACAAACAAAAATCTAAATCTGAAAAAAAGCAAATAATACAAACATAAGATATGGTTTTGCTAACTGAGAGTATGATGGAATGAAACTACCACACTATATGTAAACATTCACACAGAAATCATTCTGTTATATTATAGAACTCTTCTCCTGTTTAACAGGCAATCAAATAATGACATTTTTGCACCATGTCCATATAGTTAATTTTACTGACAACAAAGAATTTTTTTTTAAATTTTTTTTTAGTAATAAATACTAATCACTAGATTTCTACATGTTACTTAGATGTTACAGAATGACCTTTTAGTACAAAAGGTACAAAGTAGAATCTGATGATAGAAAGTACATGTTTTTTTTTTAACACATCAACACTTGCAGACATTGATTGGAATAGCAATCTTCCCTGATAGGGAATAATAAGTTTTTTACACCATATTACCGGTGACTTTTCTTTAAAATTACACCCAGATGAAAACAGAAGGAAGCAACTAAAAGCTATTTCTAATATTGCAAGCAAACTATTGAAGTGTAATATTTGGAACCATTCTGGGGTTAAGAAAGACAACTCTATCATAACTTCCAGCACTCAATGTGTTCAGAACAAACTTATCTCTTCAAGTAAGTCTACAAAGCGAAGGCAAGACTATAGCGAAAGAAAAAAATCTTGAAGAGCAGCATGCTTGTGAGAAGAAAAAAATAATATCCTACACAACATGTTCACTGAAACTGGGAACCAGTCTTTTAAATGCAATAATTTCATTGGTCGATTTTGAATTTAAAACAACCAATCAAAATATACATTCATACACTGATTATCATTTCCAGTTTTCTTCTTAAACTGATCACAAAAAATGTACTATTATATATTCTTTTTAATGTTACAAAATATTTCAAATTCTTAAAAGGTAGTTTCAAACCTCATTTTCAATTTTTAAATTTTTCTAGTAAATAAACATTAATCAAAATAATCATCACCAAAAACAACGGGAAAAAGAAGTATAATGTGATGGTAAATCAACAAAAATAGATTTTTGTGCTAAAAGATAAATGAACAGCAGTACATTTATCCGACCTGATCCAAGAAATAAACGAATGTAAGAGAAAGTTGAACTAATAACATGTCTTTTTTTCTTTCAGAAGAGAAATTACTGCTGCTTAAAATATTTCTCAAACACATAAATCATTTCAAGTTATACCTATGCTTAGCATAAACTTATGTTTTAAACACAAACATCGCTTATGTTAAATATTTACAGCAAATCCTCTGCATAACCCAAACTAATGCCTAAGTCAAACATGTTTTAGTCAAACTTATTAAAGAGATAATCTGAACACAACTTAACTCATGAAAACTTGTTTCAGTTCTCAAACATTTTGTGGTGTTTTACCCTGTTTATAGAAACATCTATTATCAATGATCATTTACATCCTAACAAAAATTTTACTTATTAAACAGACTTGACATCACTTCTACATAGCTGCCCCTACATATCCAATGTACAACCTTTCTAATTAACAACATATATTTCCAAAGATAAAAATCTTAAAACAATGAATGGCGTTTATATTATAAACGACATACAAACTTTGGAAGAAATAAATACAAATCTGGCTTAAGACAAAAGAGGAATATTTCCCCGTGACTTGTAATAATAACTGTTCAATAAATCAAGCTTCCTATCATCTTCAGTTTGTTTAATATACATGATGTAAAAAAAGATGGTTTTATACAGTCAATTATGCACTAAGCGATTCTAAAATTTAATGTTAAGAGAATACACAATTGAACAAAAGTTGGCCTTTAGTAATTTCGAGTCCGCCACCTAAAACAAGTCAACAACCACCTTTAAATAAAAGACACATATAAACATGCAAGCCTGCAACACAACTGATGAAAGCTATAATTAGAACAGTGCTGAAACTCCGAAATACATCCTTCGCCATTCTTACTGCTAGTAATGATCTTTCTTCATTGGTGACAATGGTCACAGGCTTTTTTATTACCAAATTTCTATCAAATACAAGTAATGTTGGTCCCTCTTGATTAATTGCTATAAAAATACTTAAATATTTCCGACTAAAATTAAAGTACACATATTATCAATGCAATATTTTGCTTCAATGTTGAACAAATGATCACCATGATTAATAATAGTTTATTGTTCAACATGAACACCTGGGTTTCCGAGTTTCTGCTCTGTTCTATTGATTATTTCTAACTGAATACACACTTATAAATCTAATTGGATATGCTTTTATCTCAGATTCTCTAGTTATGAATATCAACCATATTTTTGTAAAAAATAATTATCCTGATTGAGTCAGATATTTACAACTTGTTGACAAGCTCGTGATATTTATCGAGGATGAAATCTCTGGTAGGCTCGAGGAAGGTTAAACGTGCACGGGCCTCGTTCATTACAGGATGATCAATGTCCGAGAACATAACCACACATGCTGACACAGTTAAGGTCAAAAACAATGAAAAGAAAGTGAAAGCAAATATTTTTCCACATGAGCAACGACCTTTCTTGGTTTCAACAGTTTTTGTGTCCTTTGGATTGGTTTCCAGATTATTTTGAGATGTTGGTTTCACTTTATCTTCCGCCACGTTATCAACATGATTTCTCTCTTGCATTTGTTGAAATTCTTTTTCCAATTCAATGACTTGTTCTTCTAAACTTTTAGCAACTTTATCATCATCTTCATGATCGTAGACAGTATCTTCCGGATTGTAAGGCAAGCTAGAATCGTCCATGGGTGCGTCACCGACTTCAGTTGTGACAATTATTGGTATGCCACCATTTTGTTTAAATGTGTCAGGACGGGCACCCTCAACATTTGATGACTTGACCTGCGTCATTTCTTCCGCCACGATGGTATCTTCTTCTGCTTTAACAGGGGTCTTTACTGTGGGACTCTGTACAACCTCAGCAGTAGACTGCGGAACATCAACTGCATTCTCTGTAAATAAATAAAGAACAAACCACTGTTAAATTCAATATAGAAAGTACCATTTTGTCAGTACCTCTGCACATATAATTTATTAAGCTAAATACTAAATTTTTCATTATCAAGAAAGTAGTATCACAACATTCTGTCACTAGAGATTTTCCTCATACAACTATAAAAAGTGTTTAAAACATTTAAGCAAGAAAATTAAATCATTTCAAAATATAAGCTATTTCTATGATTTTTGCATGCAAAACTAAATCAAACTGATTCAATATTCAATCAAAGATATGATTTCTACAGATTTATAATTACCCACTTCCAGCAAGTAAAAAGACCCATGCACTGCCCCATGTTTCAAGTTTTTTTTAACAGCCCCTATGCAATTGTCACATGGTTTCAACATTCATGAACAAAATTGTTACATGGAACCTATAGCTCCAGATTTGCACCTGGTTAATTCATTTCTAACCATTATCATTTCTTAAAACCACAATAAAGTAACCTGATATCCTTAATAAGGTGTACCAAGAAAATGTTAAAATCTAAAAGTACATGTATTATTAACGATGTGTTTCTAAATTAAGATTATTTCAAAATGATTTGGAACATGAATCAGATTACGATAGTATAAGTAGCTTTAAATCCCTTCAAAAATGTTGAGACTTTGTGCACAGAAAAGCATTCCTTGTTGACTTACATATATAAAAAAACCGAACCAAGCCCTGACAATATGCACCAGCTTTGGGACATTAATTCTGTATGCCTTTGGTTGAAATCCATTGAGAAATGAGTATATCATATAATGTGACAAAAAAAAAAAGGACAAACATTTTGTAGGCTGACTCAGGAGTGAGTACAATAGCTCTTCTTATTGTTTGCAAGTTTCAAACTGGTTAAAAAAGCAAAATAGTACATAAAATATATACAAAGTTCTTGTGGCTTCAGGTTAAGTTTTCAGGTTTCCTCCAAGAGCTAAGGCATTCCATCAATCAAAATATTGATTTCAAATTTTGCATTTTTACTAACCATTGTTGGCAATGGCATGATCAATTCAAGGTGATCCCTTTATGCTGATCAAATAAATACTAAATTAAATAACGAAAATATAAATTTGAATTTCACACATTTGAGCAAGGCATATTTTCACTATTTTGTATTTCAAAAATATTTTGTTTGATGAAACACCCAATTCTGCCATATCAAGGATATTGGAAATGGAAAATGCCAGGATAAATAATGTAAAAAAATCAAATCTGATCTTCTAGAAATTATTATATTTAAATCATCAGATAAGTACAAACATTACAACACCCCTCTCATCTCATCTTTACTGTTATTTTTTCTATAGAGAAATAAGTCTTGTGCAAAACTATATTCAATTTTTACAATTTTCAAGGAAAAAAACCCTTAGTTTTGAATGTATAAAGCAGAGCACTGCAAAGCTGAGCAATATACAGTCCCTAAAGAAAATTTGTTTTAGTAATAAACAAGAGCTGTCACCCAAGTGACGAATGCCCCCGAAAAGGTTTCTTAAGCATGCAGGTATTATGAAAAGAAAAGAGAATGAAAGTAACTAATTGCTGAATATTGTTCTTTGTATTATTGTACCTGTAATCTCTAATTGTGATAGCATGAACCTTTAAAATAAAAGTGTGACCTTGACCTTTGAAGAAGGAACATTGTTCTTGGAAGCGACAAAATGTTGTTATGAGATAGACATTTGTGCCAAATTATTTCAAAATCCCCCAATGCATGACAAAGTTACAGTCTGGACACGATTATTGTGTTAAGTGGGGACACACGGACAGATGGAAATGAGCCTTAGCCGCGACACATTGTCTTGATGTGGTAGACATTTGTGCCAAGTTATTTTAAAATCCTTCCATGTATGACAAAGTTACAGTCCAGACATGAATGTGCATCTTCAAACTCTTCTCGAGAGAATGAGTACCTTCAAACTATAAGTGTGACCTTGACCTTGAAGGTAGGGACATGGGTCTTAGTCACGACATGTCGTCTTGATGTGGTAGACATTTATGCCTAGATATTTAAAAATCCTTTGACGCATGACAAAGTTACAGCCCGGACACGAATGTGTGTACCTATAAGCTCTAATTGTGATATAAAGTGAACTTTAAAATGGTAGTGTGACCTTGATCTTTGAGGTAGGGACATGATTATTAGATGCGACGCATTGTCTTGATGTTGTAAAGTTATTTTAAAATCCTTCCATGCATGACAAAGTTACAGTCCGTACCTATTTACTCTAATTGCGATAATGTGAAACTTCAAAATGATAGTGTGACCTTGACCTTTGAGGTAGGGAGGTTGTTCTTGGACGCAACACATTGTCTTGATGTGGTAGACATTTGTGCCAATTTACTTCAAAATCCCTCAATGTATGACAAAGTTACAGCCCGGACACAAATGAAGTGGGACAGAGGAACAGATGGAGGGGGCATAAAAATAATCTTTCAATTAGGGGGAGAGGTATTCATGAAACTAAATGACCCTCAAGTGGTAGCAGTTTTTATATGCTACATGCCAAATATATAAGCTCTGGGCATTGAAGTTTTCTTGCTTTCTGCTATTATAGATTTCTGCCAAATTGGCTTCTATTGGTTGAAAAGATACAAACTATACACAAAATTTCGAAAGTATGACCTTGACCTTCACCTACGGAAGGTCAAACCTGAGCTCTGCACATCATCTTATAATGGTTAGAATTTCTGCCCTGTACTTTCTTTTTCCTTCCATTGGTTTAAAAGATACAGATTGGACAGACAACCAGGTGCATAACAATATACGCTGAAAATTTTTTCAGGCATATAAAAAGTAAAGGCTTGTAAAAACACACAAATTTGAAATATTCAAAACAAAGCACTTGCAGACAAGCTAAAGTCAGGAAAAATCACAAACACAAACAAAAACACCAGCAAACACACTACAGTAAAGTAGCAAAACAAGTCTATATTTAAAACCCCCGAAATAAACATTTTGCTTCTTAATCATTCACTAAAAGACAAAAGTCTGTTTTATGTTAGATAATGTTTCTGCTATAAACTATAATCTAGACTTTGACACAGATTTTATGAAATATACTGCAAGAGAGATTAATTCATGTATCATAATAATGGTGACCAAAATAAGAAAGCCTACTTTCATACTCGCTTATTGCTTGGATTTCATGTGACTGATGTTTTACAGCAACATAAAAGAACATGAAAGTGACCATGATGAAACACTATTCCTAATTCATGAGATGCTTGAAATAAGCACCACCAAAGCAGAAGTCCTATCCCAATCTGTTTTGTCTATGATTAAATACTTCTATGTACTGAGTAGAATCAAGTGGCATGTATTATTGACCAAGACTTAATACATCTTCAATTCACGGCGAGTTTGAAATTTGCAGCAAAGCACAATATAGCATCCAAAGGTAAGCAATTTATTAACCATGATTACAGTACAGCATAAATTTAATGCTTAAAGCCAACTTCATCCCTATGATTCATCACCATGACTATGATTAAATGCAAAGAAGACATTTCCATAAAGCACAATTTAGCACCTAATGGCAAGCAATTCACGGCCAGTGATTAAATACTGCTTTGAATTCAGTAGAAAACTGAAATTTGCAGCAAAGCGCAATATAGCACCTAAAAGTAAGCAATTAACTGAACAAGACTAAATACATCTCCAACTCATTAGAAGATTTAAATTTGCAGCAATAGCAATTTAGTATCCATTGGCAAGCATTTCACTGACCATGATTAAATACTGCTCTGATTTCAGTGAAATTGAAATTTAATACAGCACAATGTAATACAGCAGCTAATGGCAAACATTTCCTTGACCATGGTTTATTTGAAACAATTTAAAGCGCAATAGCAACCACATGGCACTATCATTAAATAATTGATATTTCTTAATACTTTGCAGTATAAAAATTTAACAGTTTAGTGTACTGCAGAGCACAATGATAACGTACATTACAGCAATTTTCATATAAAAATCATCTTTATAAAAGAAGTAAAACATCATAGAAAGCTGATTATATATAAAAGATGGTGAGTATAAGTGTGGCTATATAAGATATAAGATCTATATTCCAGCACCGAGCACAGCAGCTTGGGTAGATATATATATATGTATATGGTATGGTAATGACTGAAACTGACTGTTGAGAATGAATGAGTATATTTACATGTATATCTCTGTTATCATAGCAAATTCAGATCATTTAAATCATATATGATATCATTTATTTATATAATTTTCTTCTGTTAACAAAACTTTTCAAAACACTGGTAACAAGAGGGCCATGATGGCCCTGAGGTCGCTCACCTGTATATAGGCCCCCCCCCAACCCCCATCCCCCCAACGTTGCAGGGCCAATTTAACCCAAGGGCTTTTATTTGCACAAACTTGGTAGACACCCATAAGAAGATGTTTCATGCTAAACATCTAAGCTCTACCTCATTGGGCTTTTTAAAAGAAGATTTTTTTAAAGTTTTTACTATACACATATAGTTAAAAACAATGACACCACTGGGGCCGGGCCAGTTTTGACCCCAGGGCTTTTATTTGAACAAACTTTGTAGACACTTACTAGAAGATGTTTCATGCTTAATATCTAAACTCTAGCTATTTGGTTTTTTTCAAAGAAGATTTTAAGTTTTTGCTATACGCATATAAAGAAAATCAATGACCCCCGGGGCGGGGCCAATTTTGACCCCAGGTCTTTTATTTGAAAAAACTTTGTAGACACTCACTAAAAGATGTTTCATGCTTAATATCTTAACTCTAGCTATTTGGTTTTTTTCAAAGAAGATTTTTTAAGTTTTTGCTGTACACATATAAGGAAAATCAATGACCCCCGGGGCGGTGCCAATTTTGACCCCAGGGCTTTTATTTGAACAAACTTGGTAGACACCTATTAGAACATGTTTGATGCTAAATATCTTAGCCATAGCTCTTTGAGTTCTTTAAAAGAAGATTTTTTAAGTTTTTACTATATGCATATAGGGAAAATAAATGACCCCCGGGGCGGGGCCAATTTTGACCCAGGGCTTTTATTTGAACAAACTTGGTAGACACTTATTAGAACATGTTTCATGCTAAATATCTTAGCTCTAACTCTTTTGGTTCTCTTAAAGAAGATTTTTGAAGTTTTTACTATATACATATAGGGAAAATCAATGACCCCCTGGGGCCGGGCCAATTTTGACCCCAGGGCTTTTATTTGAACAAACTTGGTAGACACCTATTAGAACATGTTTAATGCTCAATATCTTAGCCATAGCTCTTTGAGTTCTTTAAAAGAAGATTTTTTAAGTTTTTACTATATGCATATAGGGAAAATCAATGACTCCCCGGGGCGGGGCCAATTTTGACCCCAGGGCTTTTATTTGAACAAACTTGGTAGACACCCATTAGAACATGTTTCATGCTAAATATCTTAGCTCTAGCTCTTTGGGTTCTTTAAAAGAAGATTTTTTAAGTTTTTACTATATGCATATAGGGAAAATCAATGACCCCCCGGGGCGGGGCCAATTTTGACCCCAGGGCTTTTTTTGAACAAACTTGGTAGACACTCACTAGAAGATGTTTCATGCCAAATATCTAAGCTCTAGCTCTTATGGTTTTTTAAAAGAAGATATTTAAAGTTTTTTCTTTCGGTTGCCATGGCAACCAGAGTTCCGCATGGAATATAATTCTTTGAACAATTTTTAAAGGTGACCACCAAAGGAACATTCCTGTGAAGTTTGGATGAAATTGGCTTAGTGGTTTATGAGGAGATGTCATTTAAAGTAAAAGTTTACGGACGGACGACGGACGGACAGACGGACGGACGGACGGACGCCGGACGAAAAGCGATCACAAAAGCTCACCCTGTCACAAAGTGACAGGTGAGCTAAAAATGAACAATACAATATCTTATTTTATACTCCAGTCTGATCTTTTGCTTTTTGCAATTTTTTTTTTGAAATTATTTGAGATTGTTGTTGGTCTCATATTTGAGTATGATATTTGCCAGAAGTAAACTGATCTGAATCACTGTTTAATGATAGGAATAGATATGAAGAGCAGTATGCTAGGGTGAATTGTGCGATTTTTTTTTTCCCCGGCTAATTTTTAGTGTGATGGGTTAGGTATGGCATGACGTAATGATGTTATTATGAATTTTGTTATCTCATCACTACCTTGACGAGAAATACCGTGTTCATCTCGGACGGTCGTAACTTTCTGTATCGTAGTCACCATTGGTCTAGTCTCGAAAGTTGCTTGCGTTACAACTCGGTCACCTTCAAGAACTGTCTGCCTCTGCTCTACCTCTGTGTATTGAACAACCTCTTTAGAACTTGTACGAGCTATTTCTCTTAATTTCGGTCTCTTAACCTCGGTTGATTTGGGTCGAATCTCGTACTTTTCTCTGATTTCGTCCGGCTCTATTAAATCTAGTTCAACTTTTTCAACAGACGCCCTCGGTGCCATTCTAGGCTTGTTTTCGTTTTTATTTCTCTCTAAAGAATCGGGTCGCTTGTTTCGTTTCTCGGGCTGAGGTTCGGCAGAGGCAGACGTGGAAGTAGTCATGCGTGGAAGTGTGTCAGCTGTAATGTTAGTAATATACATGCTATTAGAGGTATATACGTTTTGAATATTTTATAATTTTGTTTTTCCATCTTAACTGAAGGATATTATTGGTTCCATTTATAATAAATGTATTACTTATTTCTTGTTACATTCATAAATCATAGTACATCTATAACTTAATCAGTTACTTTAGTTATCTAAAATCGCATTATAATGTTAACTCTAAAAAAAAATAATAAACTATATTTGGATAAAAAATATTTATTTATAAGATCAACCCAGAGGATTCTTAAGATAAACAAAATAGACAAATCAGTTAATATTAGATCACCTTCAAACTATTTATATTAAAAGATAAATTATACACACCAAAGGAAATAACGCAATCTTGGATATATTTATTATAAGAGAGCTTGTTTTGATGTTCATAGAAATATATCCTTATTTTTTTGTTACAAATATGAATTGATCATGTTGCGAGGTACACTACAAGTAGATATACATCATGCAGTCAAAAAGTACCATGACTTTGCAGAGGAGCCAATAATTGCAGGGGAGCCAATAACAAGGCAGCCAATAACTGCAGGGCAGCCAATAACTGCAGGACAGCCAATAACTGCAGAACAGCCAGTAACACCAGAAAGTTAATACATGGAAAAACACGACTTATCAATGTTTTTCCATTGTTTTCTAGTTTTATCATTATAGAAAAGCCAGCAATGCTAAACTTGCAAACAAAAATAACCATGCAAGACTTTATAATAATGGTTAATATTTGACAGAAATATTGCCAACAAAAACTCTTGGCTCCCACATCTATCAATCAATATCAATAACAATGGTTGTAAGTACAAATTCCGCTATCAATTACGGTATATAACAGACTATTAGGTTAAATTTAAATTATTAATCATAGTACAAGTTACTTGGATTTATTGTTTCACATTTTCCTTTTATGTATGGACTCTTGTTTTCCTTTAAACTAAATGAAATCAGTGTATTGTATTAAATGAATGAACTTCAGATTCTCAAATTTTGAGACTTTCCTTGTAAATTAACCAATAAGTGACCTTCAACATAAAACTAGGGTATATTATACGTTATTAACTAATAAATATATCATAAAATGGAGGAAATCATTATATATGAGGGCAAGGGAAATAATTGACAATCAATGTTTTAGGTGTATAAATTATGGTAACAATATAGGTTTAAAAAAAGTCAAAATGATTTGACAGCCAGTCAAATATGTACTGCATACAATGTGATTTATACTTGGTATTGTCCAGTTATTTCTCATAAAGTTTCATTGCAATATATAACAGTGGGTATCCATGGTGATAAGACATTCACTTTCCTAAAAGTCATCCAAAAACAGCTAAAGAACAGAAAACTAAATGAAATTAGATTTAGTTAGAATAGAGGAGAGAATAATAATATCTGTCATATTTTGCGGTTCGGATCGGAATATCCGTCCCGAGGTGATCCGCCCATTGGGCGGTAACGAGGCTTGCCGAGTTACCGCTCATGGGCGGGTGACCGAGGGACGGATATTCAGATCCGAACCGCAAACATATGTCAGATATTTTTTCTTGCATATTCTACCATATTCCATTATATTTCAAATTCTTTATCTTTATTTTCAATGAAAATTTATATCATAACAACCGTAACTACTTTCATTCAACAGCGTATGAATTACAAAATCATTCATAACGGTAAAATGACGTCATCTTTATCGTGCCATTGTACAGCACGCGACTCATCTGGAACCCCCCATGCCAGATGAAATTTCCGGCATGGGTAAAACTAACGGAAACGCCAGTCTGATATGCAAGAAAAGAAAAGATCATTTTCCATATCAATTACTGATGACTATTTCAGTTCATTTAAATATCATTATAATTTATTCAGACCAGAAATTAATACTGTAGTAAGTTTCTACACCATTAAAGAGTCATAAACAAATTCACATGAATATTGCACTTTACAAATTTGTTCAGAAAAGATAAAGTAACAAAGATGCCATCATATTAAAGTTGCTATCTTGGTTACTATAACCATAGCAACAGCCTTACACCCACTGTTGAAGTAATTAAAACATTTTAAAACCCTTTCACAACTCTACTGACATGTCATGAAAATTCTTAATTTTAACATTACTGTTAGATTTTTATTGAGCATAATTATACTGTAAAATTCCCCTTTTTATAATGTTGTAATATTTAAGTCCTAAAATCCCAACCTGACTCATAGAAATTCTATACAATCACTGAAAGTAAAATGTTAAAATTGAAATTATCACTTAATTAGTTAGTGTCTTTTTTATATCTTAATTTTGTTAAGAAAAGATATTAAGATAGAAACATGGGTTGTTAAGTTTAGTGAGATAACACAAAAACAAACTATCAGCAATTTTATGTAATGACAAATTGACCCTTGTTATTTTATAGATATCAATGGGAAATACTGAAGAACTGGTTTTATCCGCCTTCAATTGAGAGATTTCAATGTGGAATATTGTAGAGCAGGTTTTACTTGCCTTAGAATAATTTTCACCAAAATTCATAGCTGATTTCTGTGCTAATTTATAGTCATCAAGAACAAATATGTAACCATGAGTCTGCAATTATTTTATTAAGAAACACTTTTGACTTTGAATATAATGATGACGCAAATTCATGAATACCTAAATGAAGAAAAATATACTGTTTGGACAAAAAATTTGAAATATGAGAAAGTAAATTTAAAGCGCTTTTCTACAGAAAAACCCAATAAAGTCAAAATATCCTTAAAAAGATTTTTCTCCACAAGTGAGACAGAATAAAGGTAAAACTGTTATATTTTGCATAATATTTAACCTGAGTACAAGCATATGTTTCTGTTGTTCCCCTATATATGAAGTTGATCAAATTAATACTTGTTCCATCTTATAAGTATCTTTTTTGTATGAAGAGGCATAAATTTATACCCATACCCACAGTATGACATCATGAAGTTTCACTTTATTGCCTTAACCAGATGTAAGTATAAAATAGAAACTTCCTAACCAGGTCATTTAGGTATTAAAACATTAAACAGTAAAATTGCTGATTGTTTTTTAAAGTGTCTGAGCCTCATTTTATTTTTTATTTCATCAGTACAGCAAACCAATAGCTAGCAAGATTGAAAGGCGGGGTTAAATGGGTTACCCTGGCAACAACAACTTACCCTTATATCCTTTCCCACCTTTATCTAAAAATACATAAGCGACATAATCTATGTTAAATCTATGCATACTGGTATTAAAGACATCAAAATGGAACTTAAAATTCCCGCCAAATTTCACGAAGTATCCTTATCCTGGACTGGTTTCCTGTCTACAGCTGTAGAAATGTGTGTTTTTAGATGCATGCAGAAAACAAGTCTAAAAGAATACTACTATGAAAATCAGAGGTGTTCAACAATAGAAGAAATCATATTTATTTGCATTATTGTCATGTTTTGACCTTTGTGCACTGCACAAAGTTGTGCTCAACACTCTTGATATGTTACAAACCTATGTGATCCCTTTCTTCTTTGTGCTCAATATAGCGAGAAATAAATCTTGTATAAATTTGTTTGATTTCTACCCAAAAAGCTGCTGTTTTAGAATTAAGATTATATTGGTGCAGTCAAGACTTCTTATAAATCAGTCCCTAAACTCTATAGAAATGATAATTATGTTTGTTTGAAGAAGCTATGTTTGTCAGTGTCTATCCCAATATCAGATTGTCATTAACTTATTTCCAATTATTTTCCCTTAAATGTCCTCTATATTTGCAAACCAAAATTAAACCAAAGACTATTGATGAACTATTGTTAACCAACGATCATTCCAAAAGAAGTCCAAATAATATGCAAGAATGAAATATTTGCACAAGAACACTTAAGTCCTCCATCTTTGAAATCTTTCTTATAAACATAGCTTTATTTCGAAAATGTGTGCAAGATACAAAGATTATCAATTTAAAAATTTGGAAGAGAACGATTTTCCTAAAACTGATGAAATTTTCTGCTTTATTATGTGACTTGTAATGCTAAGGGGAAGTAAGACAATGATAAAGAAAAAAAATCAGAGGAATCATGCAAGGGTTACTTCCCTTTAAAGTCTTAAACTTTGAAATAATCTTAATTCTAGCTAAAGTGCTAAAAGTATATTAGAAAGGAAAGGGAACTTAGCATGCTAGGAGGATATGTGTATATTATATATAGTGTTTACACTTTACATCACCAACAATACACACAAGACAGACAACTGACCAACATTTACTCTGAATTGCCTCCCTTTATTTTGACCTACACTCCTTCATATAACATGACAATTTCGAGTGAATTTCATTTAACAGTCAAGTATTTACCTAATTTTGACCTATTTTAACACATAAGAGTTCTGTGATGAATACATCTTAAATGTCAGAATGATTCCTTCATGTATGCATGTAAATGTCAATTCTTGTTTGTGGAGTTGTGATTTATTGTGTCATGAAAGCTTTGCAAATGAAGCATTGTGCATAGCTATGTAAAAATAATACAATAGTATATTCTACTTTTTTATGTTATAAAGTTCCCATAATTTCCTGCAAGTGCTTGAAATGCTATATTATATACATGAAGGCAACAACAAGTATATCAAGAGATGGTTGTGAGACAGTTGTAACTACATCATATTTCATACAACTGCTCCACACCAACAGCTCAAATTGTGTGTGTGTGTTTTTGTGCAGTAGGCCAATAATATTATAACTATCTGATTTGTTTCTGAATTATTTCTTAAAATATACACAAATGATGACGTACCTTCCGAAATGGAAAGGTTCGCAGAGTTCCGCATATGAATTCTACTGTCAGACTTCCTGGCAAAGTTTGGCAATGAGCACGTCCTGTAATATTAATAAAACATTACCAATTTTAAATAACCTCCATAGAAATCTGCACTATAATTATCTCATTATCTTAATAATGAAAGCATCTCCTGTTGAAAAATTTATTTGCAACGATGTGAGAAAATATTTCCAGTCAGTAGGGAAGACGCTAATGAAAATAAAATGTCATCTAATCTAATTTTCAATTTCAAACACCATGGCACACCATTTTTAACTGTAATGAACAGTATGGCGCCTTGTTCATCAAATTCTGACAAAAATACAACAAAAAGTTGCGAAATGACAAAAATACAAAACCACATCAACAAAACTTTGTCTGAAAGACTCTATGTCTTAAAACTCCTCTAAATGTCCAGAAACAGTAGTTTTATTTTTACTTTATCAGCTTAGGTACATGTAATACTTATCTTTGTAAAAGTTTGAATAAAGGCAACTGCCACATGCCAAGAAAATATTGTTCAAGATAAAGTGCATAGTGTTTTCATGCAAAAAGGGAGACAGCTGCAGTTTGCTGTGAAACACATACATGTAATGAAAGAAAGTAAATTTATCTGATTTAATTTTTCTTTAAAAAGGGGGGGGGGGGGGAAAGAGAGAAATCTTCAATAAAGGTAGTATTAAACAATAATTCAATGCCTTGGTGCTTAACCCTTTACCTCATATATACGCGAAACAACGCACTTTCGACCCCCCCCCCCCCTTTTTAGGCCTGGAATAGTGAAAAAATGTCCTATTTGGGTCCCAAACACATGTTTTCGTTTGAGAAATGTTGCTAAAAAAAGTGAGCACTTTTTCGGCGCCGTCCCCCATCCAAAAGATACATCAGGGGGTTGCCAGAAGGGGGATGTGCCCCCTTCTGTTTGGGGGGTTTGAAGGGGGGCGGAGTCCCCCTCATCGCCAAGAAAATTTTGGACTTGTGAGAGGCTTAAAATGACCCCAGGTCGATCATAAGGTAACGTGTAACCAACGCTGAAAAGCCTTTGACTCTATCTCAATCCCTTGAGAAGTTGCAGCACTTTGAAATAAATTTTGATGGGAAAAATCGAGGCAAAATAGTGATTTTTGGCAATTTTGAGATGTCCCCTCATTGCCATGGTAACAGGAAATTTAAGACTGAGCATGTCGTTACAAAGGCAATGGTCCAGTCAACATTTGTGCCAAGTTTGATTAGTATTGAAGCATTTTTCATAGTTTCATACCAGTTTGAACTTGTAAGAGGAGGCTTTTCAGTGAAAATGGCCATTTTTCACAATATGCTCATGGGGGAAAGGGTTAACAGCTGCAACTCTTTCTTTATATTATATGAGTTACAACAGTTTTTCACCAAATTCTTGAATATTAATGCATTCACATATAATAAATTAAAATAATTCTTATCAAATTAATAACTTCTACATAATTATTGTTTAATTTATTTTTTATTTTGCATCCACATTTTAAGTAGGGACACCACATGGAAGATCTAAATTTAGCCAAATTGTAACTTTAATAAGGAAGCCAGCACAAAGCCTGACTCTGCAACATCTCACCAGACTAAATATGTCAAGTACATCTATATTCTAGCTCTACTAGAACAAAAGCTGATTAGTCTTTACCAACAAAATAGAGCTAGGCATAATCTAACCAAACTTTATATTGTTTGTAGCTCATTATTTTGTATTTTGAAATTGAAATCCCTTCAATGGACTGTTCCAAGATTAAATCAGGGCAAATCCATTCACAAATTAATTAGGTTAAGGGTTAGAGCATTTAACATCAAATCCTTTTAATATATATGAATTACAGACAGTTTTAAATCCAAAAGGAAGACCATTATATATATATTGAACGAGTGGCACTATTTAGGGCTATTTACATAATAAAAATTTGGTAAAATTTCATTGCAAAAGTTCAACACACAATAGTGAGATAGAAAAACACAAAATATTTTTGGAAGACAAGAAGCAAATCTGAAAACACCTCTGTTTCATTTATTTTCAGTTAAAGGGGCATGTCTCAAACATCTATAGATAATTATTTTATATTCCTAACTCTCTCTGAAACTCTTTAATTTCTTTTAAAAAAATCTATAGTTTCCAACATTATTTAGCAGTTTAAAGGAGCATGCCATCAGATTCCTACTTATTTTCATGAAATTTTTTAAAATGTATTTAAAAGTAAAATATTGTGAAGCGAAAAAAATGAAAATAATTTACACATTGCAAACAGCACTGTCTTGCAATCCACATAAATTACCAAAGAGAGGTCAAAATAAGCAAAAAATAGCCCTTTCTGTGTTAGTAACAGTGATAAATACTGCAAAATCAGTAATTAATTGCATATAACATGAAAATTATTACTTATTACTTAAAATCTAAGTAAAATATTTTTCTCAAGTTTAATTTTCTTGAAATATTTTGGCTCATCTTAAGGCATGCGGCTATACATTTACATGACAGTGCTTTTAATCATCTTATTACTTTCATGTTACCTATCTTAAAGCTACAGTAAAATATGTCTGTTAAAAGTCTAGTAAAAAGAAAAAGACATAAAAAGGGGGCTCTTTATTGACAGGTTGTCACTTTCAACAACAAAGTCAGTTGGAAAACAATGACCTTTGAAATACTCAAAATTTATTAATTTTCTAGAGGAGGTCTCTTATCACAGGTTTGTCTGTACTGCAAACAACGATATGTATCTTAAAACAACAACAACAAAACATGAAATTCTAATGTTATTTGCATCTTAATTCCAATAGCTATTCACATCTGGTTTTAAGAAACAAAATTAATAACTTATGTCATTATGTTGAGAGAGACATGTTCCTTTAACCATTACCTTTGCTTCTAGTCAGGAGAAAATTAATAAGTAATAAAAAATTCACGAATTAGAAATAACTCTCACGTGTTGTTAACTTTAATCCCATGAATATGTTTAATGAAGCTTTCTATGCTATATCTGAAAGGAGGGTAACCATGGTAATATAATGATAAACTGATTAAAATTTCCATATTTAGAATTTAATAATCTTCTCAACAATGAATCAAGTTGCTTAATATAAATTGCATTTTTTTTCCCCTTTCTAATTGAAAATGGTTATGTTCAGGTCAAATGTACAAGTATAAATGAGCCGCGTCATGACAAAACCAACATAATGGGTGTGCGACCAGCATGGATCCAGACCAGCCTGCGCATCCGCACAGTCTGATCAGGATCCATGCTGTTTGCTATCAGTTTCTCTACTTGTAATAGAGTTTGTAAGCGAACAGCATGGATCCTGATCAGACTGCGCGGATGCTCAGGCTGGTCTGAATCCATGCTGGTCGCAAACCCATTATGCTGGTTTTGTCGTGACGCGGCTCAAATCATCTCTAGGTAACAAACATAAATAGCAAAAAAGCTTTAGCAAAATTTAAAATGTGATTACATTTGATTTTTTTATTTTTATTTAGCAAAATAGCAAATGTTGGCAGCAGGGAGTATTGAAATAAAAAAAAATAAATAAAGAAAACCATGTTACTTTTCATTTGACCAATCATTACCTTTGAAAATCGGGTTCTTTCCTCTTGATATCCTCACGTGGACTAAAAAATACGCCTTCGTTTTTTGAAAACAAGCCGACGACATACCAACATAAAAAAAAAAATAATAGTCACCTCTTATTTACATAATTAAACAACAACAAATGCAAAATCAAAATAATTTTATGAGTTTTAATTTTTTATTGTAAATTCCAGGTAAATTATTACTGTAGTTGAGTCCTTTCACATTCATTTGTTCTAGCCATTCATTAAGTGACGAAAATAGAGCTTGGAATGGACTTCAAGATCATTTAATCTAATTTCAAGGCAGGGTAGCTCTTTTTTGAGCTTATGCAACTATATATTAATTCATGATTTTCAATCTTAAATTCTAAACACAATGTATAATTTCGTTAATGACTATTGTCATTCCACTTTTTTAGCAGTAATGTATTCTCTTATTAGGTAATTAAATGTGTTTTTGAGTGAAACCTTGACAAAAATTCAATGATGTATGCTAAAGGCCCTGTGATTATGCCGGACCAATTTTGATAAAGGTCGCAAGCCTGGGTAATAAATCATTTTCATTATTTATATACTGTTGTGTTATTTCACCGCAATGGAATTTTTAAAATCACGAGTATTTGTAAGTTCTTAAAAAAATTATAGAATCTTTTTACAAGTTCATGAAATTTAGACTCTAATAAATCTGTCTGATTCTTAAAACACAACGATTAAATTAATCATGTAAATATATTAAATTTCTATAATATTTGAACAATCATGATTAGGCAATAATCAAATTTATGGTTTTTCGTGGAAACCTCGAACGCAAAATAGACGAGGTTCACTATCAGACGTACCTTTTGAACCTAAACCGTGTTTATCCTCTGAGATTAAAATGATCCCCGCCGGACCGAACTTTTGGAGTATTAAAAAGAGTTCTTGTTAACCTGTGGAAATAAACATTGTTTTCTCATATTATTTATAACTGAGGGTTGAAGGCTACAGTAGCTACTTTTTCAGGCTAATTTGCAAAAACTTATATCATTTTATCAAGTTAAATGAGTAAGAACTAATTAACATTTGTCATGATACTTTACATAAATAGATTTATGCGTTTAATCCCAAATGTATATTAAAAATTATAATTTGCAATTTGGTATTAAAAATATGATTACCAATAAATTACCTGCAAAATAAAGAAGTTTATAGTTTCAATATGCCAACTCTGGTTTTAAATATGATTCTAACAATAAATTATATTCTTTTATTTATGTAAGTTGACATATGTGTAATTTTAGTCCCCATTAGGGAATATTACTGTAATTATGAGAGAAAGATAAATTGATAATCTGCTTTTTTTGGCACAATTCCTATCAACAAGAGCTGTCGGTAGGACAGCAACGTTCGACTATCCTTAGTGCTTGATAGTAAAAAAAAATGCTTGATACAGATACCTCCTCCTGTTTACAGGTTGGGGTAATGATGGTGAACAAGTGTGCAAAGTTTCAAAGCCATATGTCAATGAACTTTGAAAATATTTGAGGTATTACAAAAACTTTAACATAAATTCTAAGTCGAAAAAGGGGCATAATTCTGTCAAAATGCTTGATAGAGTTACCTCCTCCTGTCTACAGGTTGGGGTCATGATGGTGAACAAGTGTGCAAAGTTTCAAAGCCATATGTCAATGGACTTTGAAAATATTTGAACTATTACAAAAACTTTAACATAAGTGGTTACGCCCACGCAGACGCCGACGCCGACGCTCGGGTGACTGCAATAGCTCTACTTATTCTTATTGAATAGTCGAGCTAAAAAGTATTGTAAATACAGGAACTAACGTGAAAAAGAACTGCTGTTCCACAGCACATCTCCACAGGTACTTGCAGGCTGCTACAGTCAGACACTTGTAACCAATCGGCTGATGTTTCTAAATATAGAATATTAAAATCATACATGAGAAATGTTAACAAAGTTTAAAACCTATTAATCATGTAAATCATTGTAAATTTATCAAAGATTTCTGCTTATTATATTCAAAACATTGTCATTGGTCAAAGGTTGATTTAAGGACTAGCTGATATATACTGGTACTTTCTCTAATTTCATATTTTAATAGTTAAATATCATAATATAATATAATATTTTAGTCCAATATGGTTGATACATTAATATAATAGACATAATCATTATAGTACAAAATATTCTGTATATATTTCATGCATAAGCATATGTACAATGATTTTTGGTGTTAATTTTTACTTTCTTATTTTTGTCTAGTGACAACAAAATTAATTTGATAGGGGAAAAACAATATTAAAAACTAAACACATTTCTGCCTTCCTGTCTTCTGTACTTAATTATTGTTATGGTATCATACAAAGTGACACTATAAATGGTACCCTATTATACATTCATCAGCAATATTAATACTATTAATGGCACTTAAATAGCTATAATAAAGTTCCCCTTGTGAAATGTTCAAACATCATTGAACCAGTAGTTTTAAAATAATACAGTTTATAATTCTTATTCAATATATACAGTAGATATGCATGTTAATATTACAAAACATAAAAGCTTGGTCTTTAAATTATTTTAAGGTGAGCAATGGAAAAAAATAACACAATAACAAATAAATAGTTGCCAATCCTATACTTGATTTATTCAGTCTACTAATTATAGATAACAATCCTAACATCCGATAGCACCCGCATAACCAATCTTTAATAATTACAGTACCCAATGTACCCATACTATAACTCTCACATAACTTTTTTGGTAGCAGAAATAGTAAAAATAAGCTCGATTTGAATATTTTAACTCATGTCAGTTCATTTAATATTACAAAATAAAGCAGAGGCTCAAGGAAAAGTTAAACATCGTGGTAATAATTATTTTGATATGTGGACAGTTCTGGACCGAAAAATGGGAAAAAACAATATGAGCCGCGTCACTACAAAACCAACATAATGGGTGTGCGACCAGCATGGATCCAGACCAGCCTGCGCATCCGCTCAGTCTGATCAGGATCCATGCTGTTTGCTATCAGTTTCTCTACTTGTAATAGAGTTGTAAGCGAACAGCATGGATCCTGATCAGACTGCGCAGATGAGCAGGCTGGTCTGGATCCATGCTGGTCGCAAACCCATTATGTTGGTTTTGTCATGACGCGGCTCATATGTTTGTACAATCAGAAAAAACATTAGCGGAATATAATTATTGTTTTCCATTTTTTGGCCCAAACTGTCCATTCATCAAAATTATCATTACCTTACACTTATGGTATACATTTTTGCACAACTTTTCTCTAAGCCTCCACTTTACATAGTCATATTTTATAAAGAAATAAAGAACTGATTTGAATCAAGCAGTTTTCTGCTTGCAGTATTACCAACAATTGATGTGAAAGTCACATGTTATGAGCACAATGGTACAATGTAATCAATAATCCCGAAGGACCAGACAAAAATATGAAGACTTTCCATTTTATGTGAACTACCAACCAATTGTTAATTGACCAGGCTTATCTACAACAAATGGTGAAATTTCATGTTCTTTAATTGTGGCTTTAAAGCAATAGCAGTGAGGGGGATATATCACTATGAACATAGAGGATAAGGTATAATAACGTAAAAAAATAAGACTTAAAAACAACAAAAATTAACAACATGAGGATAACAAAATAATTTCCACAATGAATATATAATACCCTAAGTATTGTCTACAATCAAATTTATTATCGCAGAAACAACGCTGACTCATGAGAAGTATTATGACTATTTCAATTTCAAAATGGCTGGTGTTCTTTTTTTATTGTTTCTTCAAAGTTAATAATCACTGGTTTATTTCTATGGTGGTTTTCTTTTTTGGAAAAGAAAATAAAATTTTAAAATTCTGCAAACTAAACAAAATTCAAATTTAGCAATCAACAATGATAATTATGTGCATAACAATGTCTTAGAATAGTTGCGCGTCTTAATTTATTGTGTAGCATATGCTGGCATTATTGTACCTTGTGTTTGGCTGCTATAAAGTTTTAATGTTGCTGTTTTAAGATGTATAATTTCAGCATAATCACTGAAACTTTAAATAGATAAATGATGAAATCAGACTTCAAGGTTAACATTGACTTGTTATAATACTTTAAATTATCAACATGATAATGTAAAAATCAGATCTAATGTGGACTTTTTAACCCTTTATTTTCAGACGTTTTTATTATTGTTATAACAAACAAGAGCACCCGAGTAGGACCACTGACGTTCCATAAGCAAGCTGGATTGCTTTCTCATATGAGAGAATCTGAAGTTTCTTGTGGCATATTAACCCACAGTGGTTGAGGGCAAGTGGCAATGACTTTTACATTATAAGTACTCATACAAGTGTGTTTACTACTGTGTGTGCAGGTGTATGTATGTGCATGCGCCTGTCACTTTGGAAACCATTTTTAAACACCATTATGTTTAATTGTCTATTACTGGCAGTTAGCATAATGTCCTCCATTACTACAGTGCTACTGCACAACCACATTATTATACTTTTATGCCCCCTCCACTCAGTCACATTACAGTCTGATATACAACCAGCTAGTCTCAAAATATTCACCTTAATGTTGAGTGCAAAGCAAAGTTATTCATTTCTTTTATTGAAGCGGGCATCTGCAGAATTTTTAAACTTACATATACATTGTAATTCTATACATATTGTGGTGAATTTTTCAGCTGTGTGCAAAGCTTGGTTCATTATGAACTTTGCATCTCATTAATGAATAGCAGTGTAGGATATAAAGTGTGCCTTACCACATTGTAGTGATGGTAACTAGTTACTACAGAAACCTTTTTACTTTATCAAAGTAAGTCCCACAAAAAAAATAACCCAAATGAATATTTACCCAAAATCAATACATGCAATCATTATGTGAAAATCTCAATTAAAAAAATCCAAAAATTATTTTAGATTCTAACAAAATTTAAAGAAAGGTTTCATAACAACATTGTGAAGCTGAAGCACTTTCGAAGTAAACAAAATAAATTTTAAAAAATCTAAAAAATTTACCATTCTTTTTGCATATTAACAAAAAGGGTAAAGCTCCTTTAAGCAATGCACCAACTAGTTCAATAATACTGAACAAGCAAAATTTGTATAAAAAATAAAAATAGCATTTAATGTGTAGTAGACATCACCATACATTTCCATACATCTGTTTTAACTAAACATTTACAATACCAATTACTCTTCAGTGAGCTCTAATTGCTTGTAGATAGTAAACAAAGCATGAAAAAATACCCATGCTTGCCATTTACATTGATATACCAACTGAAATTAAAGCTTATAAAGCTGGGATACAGTTCTATAAAATGTGTCTGTGTTAATTCAAGTGCATTTTAACACACACAAGGATTTATTGCTGACAAAATAGTTGAAACTAGTTTCAGAATCATTTTTGATTGGTCAGTTTCAAAAGCATTATTTGTATCCAAGTATCCAATCATGAACATTTTTATCAAGATTTATGTCATGAAATATCATTAACCTGATTGGAGGTTTTTGATAACATGACTTTGGAACTGACCAATCACAATGCTGCTTTCTTTAATTGGTTTCAATACAAAGGTCAAGGACAATGTTAGTGAACCGTCTGCTCCTGATATTGCTGGTATGTTTTTTACACTGTATTAACAATCTCACCTTTTTGGAGTTACTCTGTTCCTTGTCCTAATTTAAGCAAGCACAAAGAAATAAAACATACATACAAAATTTCTTAATAATATGGCTAACAAACATAATTTCTTAATAAAATGTGGCTAACATATTTTGACACATTATATGTTCATTCATACATAAAAAGACATGTATATATATAATAACAATACACACAAACATCTCTACTTCATGCATTAAATCTTAAAACTAATATCTTCCACCCTTCACTGTTGCATAAATTTTGTATCCTTTATGCTAATTTCTTCTTCCTAGAAACAGTACTCTATATTTTGTCACCTTAGTGCAGTAAAATGTTAACACCTATTAAACTACATAAGGAGTTAACCCATTACTGCACTAAGATGATGATATATATGTATATGAGTCTGGATAAAAACTTGGAAATATCCAAGCCATTGGTCATTACATTAATTATCATGAGCCCCAATATCTTTATTTTTGAAGGGGGGGGGGGGGGTCTATACTTCCATTCTGTTATTATACAATCATTCTTAAAACAAGTCATTTGCTAAACAAACAAATCTGTTTTATAACCCAGCTACATGATGTTAGTTTCTAACCAGGAAAATTCATCTTCTCAGATTACGTGAAAGATTTAATATGATCAGAGATTTATGAACTATCAATAACTAATGCAGTTCCTATCACTCTGTTTCAAATTTATCTTCAAAATTCTGCAGTATGTAAAGAGAAAACTGTCATTTTAAGGCAATATAAATATATCATGTCTTATTTATGTAGCTATATTACATTCTGCACCATATAACTATTAAAAGCAGTTGAGAATTTTCCCTAATAAAACCCTCCCCTAATGATTTATGGAGTGCTTAATTATTTAAACAAACAAAATTTGAGCACACAAATACTCTGTTTTAAGCATCTTCTGAAATAGTTTTACAAAATTCTTAATTATTTCAGGCCTTTAACCATCTCATTTAACAATGAAATTTAAAAGACTAGTATTTCATTATGTAAGACCAATTGGGAATTCTTTCAGTCTTGAAACTAGGTAAAGTGCAAAAACATCAAGTTGCAACACATGCCAAACTATTAATTTTTATAAATTTATTTGGACATTTTGGAAAAAGAGAATAGACACTCTGCTATTGATAGTGTAAGACTGTCAGATATAAGATATAATTTTTTCAATGCTTTTCTTTGTCTTAAACACAGCTTAACTAAGAGGACATAGATTTATACTGACACCATTTTCAACTTTTACAGGCCAACTTTTTTCGATTTTCAATATGTTTATTATTGGGCCTCTGTAGAATTAAAATCAAAGCATCTAAGTAAAGCCACAAACTTTCCATCAGCTAGTTGGTTAGCTTCACAAATGAAAGAAGTGTCTGTTGGAATTTGAAACAACAACAGTAAGGAGAGTGACTAAGTGATCAGTCATCAGTAACACTTACAATTACCTACTTATTTAGAACTATTATCACTCAGTCGGGCCCAACATAACAATTCATGTATCATAAACAAAAAAGTTAAAAAGCACAAACAATCTTGTATATATTACATAATGATATTTTCATAACAGTGTACACTTAGTAATATACATAAAACTAAAAAGCTCACTTTGTATAACCAGAAAAAAAAACAAGAGGGCCATGATGGCCCTGAGGTCGCTCACCTGTATATAGGCCCCCCCCCCCCCCCCCCCAATTTTTACCCAAGGGCTTTTATTTGTTTATTTTAACAAACTTGGTAGATACCCATAAGAAGATGTTTCATGCTAAACATCTAAGTTCTAGCTCATTGGGTTTTTTTAAAAGAAGATTTTTTAAGTTTTTACTATACACATATAGTTAAAAACAATGACACACCCCTGGGGCAGGGCCAGTTTTGACCCCTGGGCTTTTATTTGAACAAACTTTGTAGATATTTACTTAAAGATGTTTTATGCTGAATATCTAAACTCTTGCTATTTGGGTTTTTTCAAAGAAGATTTTTAAGTTTTTGCTATACACATATAAGGAAAAATCAATGACCCCCGGGGCGGGCCAGTTTTGACCCCAGGGCTTTTATTTGAAACATACTTGGTAGACACCCATTAGAACATGTTTCATGCAGCTAAATATCTTAGCTCTAGCTCTTTGGGTTCTTTAAAAGAAGATTTTTTAAGTTTTTACTATATGCATAAAGGGAAAATCAATGACCCCCCGGGGCGGGGCCAATTTTGACCCAGGGCTTTTATTTGAACAAACTTGGTAGACACTCACTAGAAGATGTTTTCATGCCAAATATCTTAGCTCTTGCTCTTTGGTTCTTTAAAAGAAGATTTTTTTTAAGTTTTTACTATATGCATAAAGGGAAAAATCAATGACCCCCTGGGGCGGGGCCAATTTTGACCCCAGGGTTTTTATTTGAACAAAACTTGGTAGACATTCACTAGAAGATGTTTTCATGCCAAATATCTAAGCTCTAGCTCTTACAAGACTTTAAAAGAAGATTTTTTAAGTTTTTACTATATGCATAAAGGGAAAATCAATGACCCCCCGGGGCGGGGCCAATTTTGACCCCAGGGCTTTTATTTGAACAAACTTGGTAGACACTCACTAGAAGATGTTTCATGCCAAATATCTTAGCTCTTGCTCTTTGGGTTCTTTAAAAGAAGATTTTTTAAGTTTTTACTATATGCATAAAGGGAAAAATCAATGACCCCCTGGGGTGGGGCCAATTTTGACCCCAGGGTTTTTATTTGGACAAACTTGGTAGACATTCACTAGAAGATGTTTCATGCCAAATATCTAAGCTCTAGCTCTTACAGTTCTTTAAAAGAAGATTTTTTAAGTTTTTACTATATGCATATAGGGAAAATCAATGACCCCCCGGGGCGGGGCCAATTTTGACCCCAGGGCTTTTATTTGAACAAACTTGGTAGACACTCATTAGAAGATGTTTCATGCCAAATATCTAAGCTCTAGCTCTTAGGGTTGTTTAAAAGAAGATATTTAAAGATTTTTCTTTCGGTTGCCATGGCAACCAGAGTTCTGTATGGAATTAAATTATTTGAACAATTTTTAAAGGTGACCACCAAAGGAACATTCCTGTGAAGTTTGGATGAAATTGGCTCAGTGGTTTATGAGGAGATGTCATTTAAAGCAAAAGTTTACGGACGGACGACGGACGACGGACGGACGGACGGACGCCGGACGAAAAGCGATCACAAAAGCTCACCCTGTCACTTTGTGACAGGTGAGCTAAAAACAACAAAAAAACATTCACATATTTAATTTATTATCTAGAACAATGCAGTCTTCCATCTTTTTACGACTATAAATAGAAAGTTTGTTTCTAAGCCATGCAATTATGCTTGTATGTTGTCATTCTAAGCCCATACTTTAGAAATGCTAAATTGATGCCTTTATTTCTTTGCTAATAGATTATATATGGTAATGATAATAAAACTATAGAGCAGCTCTTACCAGAATTGAAGACTAATGATATAGGAGGAAAATTATAAATGTTTAACTTGATAACCAGTTTCCCTTTTCTCCAAATAATTATGTATATTAGGTTTCAAGAACACTGATCATTTACAAAATAATGAAACACTCATTTTATCTTGGCTTGTTTTATGAAATATTTGATTTAATATAACTTTGTGCAGACCTGGTAAACTTAAAAGTGTCAATTAGTAAAACATATTAACAATCAATGTTTTAAATCTTAATTTCTTATTATCTTTTTGAAGACTCAGATAACATTTAGACATTCAGCATCTAACTGTAGGAATTTGACATTCAATCTTTTCCAGCTTATATAATTATATAAGCTTCCCATACCACCATCATCTTGGTGCCATTTCCTCATATATCTTAATAAATACTGTAAAAATATACTAGAAGTACAACTAAAATATTTGAAATACTCTTCAGTCAGAAGGAGAGAAACATGTACTCTTCAAATTAAGAGAAATTGTCTAGACTAAAAGTGAACTTTACCTCATTCATGTTCACATGTGCTATAAATGTCTTTCCTTCAAAGGCCAACTTTTTAATCTGAGTCCTGTAAACAGAAATACAATGGAAAATAAATCAACCTACAAAACATTTAAACAAATCAACTCTGGTAATGTATTCATGGAATAGTCATATAACAGACACATTAAATTTGACACAAAAATAACCAGTCCAGACATTTCCAAATCCTCGTTGTCTCATAGCGAATAAAAGCAATCAATTGTTACAATAGTTTGTTTTTTCTTTCCATATAAGGTACATATTTTGTAAAAAAAGTTCATAATACATATAAGTACACTAGTAATACAGAATTCATCATATCATCAGCGTTTTTGCACAACAATGACGACAAAGCAACAACCATAATAGCTTGTTTTCTTTTTCTTTCGAAACAAATGGTGTATAACGTATAGCACCACTCCTCCCAGACTTGATTTCCTCAATCCACAAGTTAAGACACACATGAAGCAGTCATTTTGCCCTGACTTTAAAGTGTTATGTATGGTTTTCCATAAAAAGGTTTAAAATTAATGGGAAAATTAAACCATCTCAGCTACTTCTATATCTCCTTGTGCACAGATATGGAGAATTATTTTTATAATAAGAAACAGTAATCAACAAGATATGTTTGTAAAACATGTATGCCCCCTATCAGCAGCCAATTAGTCATGTGATAAGGTTATTATGCATGACTTCTGACCCATTGATCAAACAATTAATAAGGGTTATCAAGTATCTACTGGTCATGACCTTGACCTTTGACCCCTTGACCCAAAACTCAATAGGGGTCATCTGCTGGTCACGACCAATCATCATACAAAGTTTGAAGTTCCTAGGCCTAAGCCTTTTTAGTTAATTGATCAGAAACCGTTTTTACCTACAAGGTCAATGTGACCTTGACCTTTGACCCCAAAATCAATAGGGGTCATCTGCTGGTCATGACCAATCACCATGCCAAGTTTGAAGTTCCTAGGCCTAAGGGTTCTTTTATTATTGATTGGAAACCGTTTTAACATACAAGGTCAATATGACCTTGACCTTTGACCCCAAAATCAATACGGGTCATCTGCTGGTCATGACCAATCACCATGCCAAGTTTGAAGTTCCTAGGCCGAAGCGTTCTTTAGTTATTGATCAGAAACCGTTTTTACTTACAAAGTCAATGTGACCTTGACCTTTGACCCCTTGATCCCAAAATCAATAGGGGTAATCTGCTGGTCATGACAAATCACCATACCAAGTTTGAAGTTCCTAGGCCTAAGTGTTCTTAAGTTATTGATCGGAAAGCATTTTTACCTACAAGGTCAATGTGACCTTGCCCTTTGACCCCTTTACTCCAAAATCAATAGGGGTCATCTGCTGGTCATAACCAATCATCATACCAAGTTTGAAGTTCCTAGGCCTAAGGGTTCTTTAGTTATTGATCGGAAACCGTTTTTACCTAAGAGGTCAAAGTGACCTTGACCTATGACCCCTTGACCCCAAAATCAATAGGGGTCATCTACTGATCATGATCAATCACCATATCAAGTTTGAAGTCCCTAGGCCTAAGGGTTCTTTCGTTATTGATCGGAAACCTTTTTACCTACAAGTACAATGTGACCTTGACCTTTGACCCCTTAACCCAAAATCAATAGGGGTCATCTGATCGGTCATAACCAATCACCATACCAAGTTTCAAGTTCCTAGGCCAAAGGGTTCTTTTGTTATTGATCGGAAACCGTTTTTACCCAAGAGGTCAATGTGACCTAGACCTTTGACCCCCTGACCCCAAAATCAATAGGGGTCATCTACTGATCATGACCAATCACCATACCAAGTTTGAAGTTCCTAGGCCTTAAGGTTCTTTAGTTATTGATCGGAAACTGTTTTTGTTTACAAGGTCAATGTGACCTTGACCTTTGACCCCTTGACCCCAAAATCAATAGGGGTCATCTACTGATCATGACCAATCACCATACCAAGTTTGAAGTTCTTAGGCCTTAAGGTTCTTTAGTTATTGACGGGAAACCATTTTTGCTTACAAGGTCAATGTGACCTTGACCTTTGACCCCTTGACCCCAAAATCAATAGGGGTCATTTACTGGTCATGACCAATCACCATACCAAGTTTGAAGTTTCTAGGCCTAAGGGTTCTTTAGTTATCACTCGGAAACCGTTTTTACCCAAGAGGTCAATGTGACCTTGACCTTTGACCCCTTGACCCCAAAATCAATAGGGGTCATCTACTGATCATGACCAATCACCATACCAAGTTTGAAGTTCCTAGGCCTTAAGGTTCTTTTGTTATTGATCGGAAACCGTTTTTGCTTACAAGGTCAATGTGACCTTGACCTTTGACCCCTTGACCCCAAAATCAATAGGGGTCATCTACTGGTCATGACCAATCACCATACCAAGTTTGAAGTTCCTAGGCCTAAGGGTTCTTAGTTATCACTCGGAAACCATTTGGTCTACGGACCGACAAGTGCAAAGCAATATACCCCCTTTTCTTCGAAATGGGGGCATAATTACATAGAGGATATTTGTTTAGTTCAGTGTAAGATCGAAATATATTTCACCGAGTGAGCACCAAAAGGTATATTTCACGAGTGGCGCAGCCACGAGTGAAATATGAACTTTTGGTGTTCACGAGGTGAAATATATTTTGATCTTACACTAAACTAAACAAATTTTCTTTTTATTATATGCAAAGAAACGTTTTAAAAAGACATTTAACCTAATACTGAATGAAAAGCGCGCCAAATAATAATACAACGTGACGTCATTTACGACGTCACGTCATTAAGTTGGTTTCCATTATTGTGAACGCTTGTATTTCACTGAAACAACGTACCGGGCTCAAATATTCAAAACAGTGAAATTATCAAATTGATAATTTCACTGTTTAAAACAGTGAATTATCAGTTTTTATTTCACTGGTATATTTCTATAAACCACCGAAAAGCATGTAATAAAATATTATACATGTAATATATTTACCATTTATAATTGTGTGTACGCTTACTACCACTAAAAGTCATGATACCCTGATGTGTCACACCTAAATACATCTGGCTGCCCTTCTGATCCTGAAACAAGTATATACACATGTGTCAGTTAGCAATACACATGTCTCAATTAGCAATATACACATGTCTCAATTAGCAATATACACATGTCTCAATTAGCAATATACACATGTCTCAATTAGCAATACACACATGTCTCAATTAGCAATATACACATGTCTCAATTAGCAATACACACATGTCTCAATTAGCAATATACACATGTCTCAATTAGCAATATACACATGTCTCAATTAGCAATACACACATGTCTCAATTAGCAATACACACATGTCTCAATTAGCAATACACATGTCTCAATTAGCAACACACATGTCTCAATTAGCAATATACACATGTCTCAATTAGCAATATACATATGTCTCAATTAGCAATACACATGTCTCAATTAGCAATACACATGTCTCAATTAGCAATACACATGTCTCAATTAGCAATACACATGTCTCAATTAGCAATACACACATGTCTCAATTAGCAATATACATATGTCTCAATTAGCAATACACATGTCTCAATTAGCAATACACATGTCTCAATTAGCAATATACACATGTCTCAATTAGCAATACACATGTCTCAATTAGCAATACACATGTCTCAATTAGCAATATACATGTCTCAATTAGCAATACACATGTCTCAATTAGCAATATACACATGTCTCAATTAGCAATACACATGTCTCAATTAGCAATACACATGTCTCAATTAGCAATACACATGTCTCAATTAGCAATATACATATGTCTCAATTAGCAATACACATGTCTCAATTAGCAATACACATGTCTCAATTAGCAATATACACATGTCTCAATTAGCAATACACATGTCTCAATTAGCAATATACATATGTCTCAATTAGCAATATACACATGTCTCAATTAGCAATATACACATGTCTCAATTAGCAATACACATGTCTCAATTAGCAATATACATATGTCTCAATTAGCAATACACATGTCTCAATTAGCAATATACACATGTCTCAATTAGCAATACACATGTCTCAATTAGCAATACACATGTCTCAATTAGCAATATACATGTCTCAATTAGCAATACACATGTCTCAATTAGCAATACACATGTCTCAATTAGCAATACACATGTCTCAATTAGCAATATACACATGTCTCAATTAGCAATACACATGTCTCAATTAGCAATATACATATGTCTCAATTAGCAATACACATGTCTCAATTAGCAATACACATATCTCAATTAGCAATATACATATGTCTCAATTAGAAATATACACATGTCTCAATTAGCAATACACATGTCTCAATTAGCAATATACATATGTCTCAATTAGCAATACACATGTCTCAATTAGCAATATACACATGTCTCAATTAGAAATATACACATGTCTCAATTAGCAATATACACATGTCTCAATTAGCAATACACATGTCTCAATTAGCAATATACATATGTCTCAATTAGCAATACACATGTCTCAATTAGCAATATACACATGTCTCAATTAGCAATACACATGTCTCAATTAGCAATATACATATGTCTCAATTAGCAATACACATGTCTCAATTAGCAATACACATGTCTCAATTAGCAATACACACATGTCTCAATTAGCAATATACACATGTCTCAATTAGCAATACACATGTCTCAATTAGCAATACACATGTCTCAATTAGCAATATACACATGTCTCAATTAGCAATATACACATGTCTCAATTAGCAATACACATGTCTCAATTAGCAATATACACATGTCTCAATTAGCAATACACATGTCTCAATTAGCAATACACATGTCTCAATTAGCAATACACATGTCTCAATTAGCAATATACATATGTCTCAATTAGCAATATACATATGTCTCAATTAGCAATATACACATGTCTCAATTAGAAATACACATGTCTCAATTAGCAATATACATATGTCTCAATTAGCAATATACACATGTCTCAATTAGCAATACACATGTCTCAATTAGCAATACACATGTCTCAATTAGCAATATACATATGTCTCAATTAGCAATTTTGTAAAACTTGGCTTAGTCTTGTTTTGAATTAAAAGTAGCCTTTTATTATTGTCCTGGATTCAATATCAATGACTATCTTTTTGTTGTTAGCTTTCATGTCAAACCAACAAAATATAGGTCATATAGCTAATTTCCAGCTTTACTGGTGAAGGAAGACCTCATGTGCCCCTCTGTGCATTATTTTAGACACAAACGAGCACCTGTGTAGAACCACCGATGTTCCTTTTATAGGCTAGATAGCTTTCTTACATGAAAGAATCTAAAGTCTCTGTCAGGATAAGTACCCACAGCCATGAGGGGCAATTTGGTTTGAAATCAACAACATTAACCACTCCACCATGGACAACCCATGATTATCTGATAGTTGTCTTGTTAAATAACATCAATTACCTAGCTTGTCTGCTGCGCTTTCATTTTAGAAATCATACCATTTTAACACTACATGACCTGTTGGTAAATCTCTGTACTGATATATTGATATACTGACCTTGACCCTATGTGGGTCCACACCATATGTATCCAGGGAGGCAGCTTTCTTGAGGAAGTTTGCCTCGGCTTCTGCAGGTACTTGACCACTAAAATAATAAAGAATTAAATCTACATAAACAATAAAAATATTTAAGATCAATAAAGAGCAAAACAACCTCTGAAGTAGCTAGATTTATGTTGGAACAACATTTTCATATGTGATTGAATACTGTTGGAACTTCATTTTCATATGTGATTGAATACTGTTGGAACTACATTTTCATATGTGATTGAATACTGTTGGAACTTCATTTTCATATGTGATTGAATACTGTTGGAACTACATTTTCATATGTGATTGAATACTGTTGGAACTTCATTTTCATATGTGATTGAATACTGTTGGAACTTCATTTTCATATGTGATTGAATACTGTTGGAACTACATTTTCATATGTGATTGAATACTGTTGGAACTTCATTTTCATATGTGATTGAATACTGTTGGAACTACATTTTCATATGTGATTGAATACTGTTGGAACTACATTTTCATATGTGATTGAATACTGTTGGAACTACATTTTCATATGTGAGTGAATACTGTTCGAACTTCATTTTCATATGTGATTGAATACTGTTGGAACTACATTTTCATATGTGATTGAATACTGTTGGAACTTCATTTTCATATGTGATTGAATACTGTTGGAACTACATTTTCATATGTGATTGAATACTGTTGGAACTTCATTTTCATATGTGATTGAATACTGTTGGAACTACATTTTCATATGTGATTGAATACTGTTGGAACTACATTTTCATATGTGATTGAATACTGTTGGAACTTCATTTTCATATGTGATTGAATACTGTTGGAACTACATTTTCATATGTGAGTGAATACTGTTGGAACTTCATTTTCATATGTGAGTGAATACTGTTGGAACTTCATTTTCATATGTGAGTGAATACTGTTGGAACTTCATTTTCATATGTGATTGAATACTGTTGGAACTACATTTTCATATGTGATTGAAAACTGTTGGAACTACATTTTCATATGTGATTGAAAACTGTTGGAACTACATTTTCATATGTGATTGAATACTGTTGGAACTACATTTTCATATGTGATTGAATACTGTTGGAACTTCATTTTCATATGTGATTGAATACTGTTGGAACTACATTTTCATATGTGATTGAATACTGTTGGAACTACATTTTCATATGTGATTGAATACCAAGTCTATTGTTGCATTTTATCAATGTTAACTTAGTGGTTTAAACATTTTTGTAAAATTAATTAAAAGCAACTGTAATTAAAGACACAATTCCACATAAAATGTCAGTACTTATAAGAGTTTTTGCTTGGTTGTTTTAAAATTAAGGTTCAAATCTTACTAGAAATTAAATGCCAAAAGGTCAGACCAGAAACATGTTGACAAATAATCTAAACTATAGCAAAGTATATAAGTGGAAAAAAAGCAGGCTTCCATTAAAATCCAGAAACTGCAAATTGTCTGACATTGGAAGTTACATTATAAAGGTAAAGAAGGAAAACGGTTATATTTTGGAAGTCACAAGCCAAAATCAGGAGTAAATGACTCGCAAGAAGCCCTCAAAAACATCTAAAAAATTATAACTAAAGCTGATTCTAATTTACTATATTTAACAACTTTAAGATAGCAGCTATTGACAAACAGCAGAAATTAACGTTGTTTCATAATATGATGAAAATAGAAATAAATCAGAGAATTAATTGATTCTATACAGAGCAATGAATGGTTTTTATATAAATATATATAGCAATCACACATGCTCACGCACAAATATTAAAGCTAGATGATACAGAATTGATCTGTAAGATTCATCTGTGAGAAATTATGCAAATGTTTGAGTTAATAGAATCAATGACGAGATTTGTATGATCCTAGTATCTGTCAGATACAGCTGAACTATCAGTCTTCTATATGCTCCCTAATCCTACATTTGTATTCTTTCGTGTTGCTAGGCAAAATATATAATACCAAAAAAAACAAAAAACCTTCTTGTTTTTCAATGTGGTGTGTGATATGGGAGTTTGTTTTAAATATTCCACAAGAAAATTTAAAAAAAGTTTAAAAACAAAACCATATGTTTCAATTTATCTTCTATACACTCCTGAATCCTACATTTGTATTCTTTTGTGTTGCTAGGCAAAATATAAAACTACAAAAAAAAACCTCGTTTTTCAGTGTGGAGTATGATATCTTAAGGAAATACTGTAACAAATTAGGTAATATATAGAGGATACTGAATGAGTGTGGTTTCAATACTAAACTTATAATCAACGAGTTCCATAAATTTAGTATTGAATATTCTATTGATCACATATCCAAAATAAGAACTGTTTTACAGAGAAGAAGAATTGCTGTTTTATGGAAGCACTTATTGTGAATTACTAACACTTAGCCCATTTTACACTATGTTTGTATTACTCAAATGACGTCACATCATTTTTGTCACGTAAAAATACATGGACAGCCGTGCAATACTGTTTTGACTGGGTCACAAAAGTGGCACAGGTGTGTGATTAAACAACTTTCCAAAATTTACTGTTGCCAGGAGAGTATAGAAGTTCCATTTAGTTGCTTTGAGTTTGTTAATTAAGGCAGAAGTTTGTAGTTGAAAATTTAAAATAATTCTAAAATACCTACATAATTATGAAATCCTACAAAATTTTAACTACTCTAGTAGCAAAATCATTTTATTCATAAAACTGGCAGCCACTGTGGCTAATAAAAACAATTTTATAGGATTAAACATAAAATACTAGACCATGTCATCAAATGCTGACAACATGTCTTCCACCAGATGTAATTTCTGTCAAATTTTATGCAAATTTTTTGCCCAAGAATCACCTCATTTAGGAGATGCTGCAATGTGGCATGGTTCTTTTAAATGTCAATCACACATTCCTAACAATTTCATTTGCAGCTTAAGATATCAGAATTTTCCATAGTTTGGCATACAGCATAAATATGTTTGAAACTGATTCTTCATTTTGATGCGTCTGTTTCATTTTTAGAGGGAAAATTCATTCAAATATCAGACAAAAGTAGGACTTTAAATGGAAGAAATACATCTGTAGTGTATCTATGGATAAGAGAGAAGGAAATACTTTTAAAGGAAATGTCTTGATCAAAAATCTCTCTCCATAAATGTCCATGTAAGAAATTTTATATAATTATACAGTTTTCTCTTATATACACAATGTTCTTAACATAGCAGCGGCCAACCAATCAAGCCCTTCTCTGGCTGAATTTCAAACAAGACATGTTCAGCTTCAGCAATTAGAGAAATTTTGGTCTTTTATTGATTTTGGAATAAAAATTCCAAGTTGGTTTTGTAAACAGTATAGAGCCTGGTCAGACTTTGATGCAATGGTTGTTTTATTTAGGTCCTGGTACACTCAAACAGCAGTTTCCTAAAATACATTCAACATTGGAAAATGAATGAACTGACCAAATAAATTAAGATAGCTGAATAATGAAAAGACCAAAACCTGTATCATTCAAGTCTCATTACTACGTAAGGAGCCTAAAGGTATTCAACATATTCAAAGAATTCATCATCGCACCAACACAACTAAGGTCATATGGCAACTCTCCAGTTAAACTGGTGGAGGAAGACCTCAGGTGCCGTTCTGTGCATTAATTCAAGGCACAAACAGGCATATAATTATATAACTTACGTATAATATAAAAACTTACGAGAGTGTTTTATGAAGGTCATGTATCTGTTGTTCTTGTTGTATGTTCTGGCCAGGTAACATTTTAAACTCTGCAACATAACCAGGCGGATGGTCTTGGGGGTCATAGTCACCTACTTCAGCTGTATAAAAACATATGGGATATCACATCATTTCAAAAGAGCCATCCGGTAGAATGTTGGACGGTGAATCGGGGACCCAGGTTCGATTCCTGAACAGTGCAGGTCACTTTCATTGTGATTGACAATGAAATCCTTTCTTCTGTTATTCGCACTGTACCTATGCTCTGGCATGTACAGAAGTAATATCAGTTCCTTGTGAAAAGGAAAGCAACTAGTACTGGTAAACTGCTTGACAAACTGCCAAGGAACAGTGTGGTGGCTATACTGTGCTCTGGTAAATTAAATGCGGCTTACTGCCATGATCTCGAGTGAAAACTACCAACACCACCACCACCACATCATTTCAAACAGAATTCTCTGATCTGCTAAATGTTTATTGATACATTGAAACTCAAAAGTAAAGGGCAAATAATATGTTCTTGATGTTGTGTCTGCAGCATATAAACTACATTTGCATCACAGAAACTGTCAATTTCAAAACTGCAATTATAAGCAAGTGCTTAAATGTCATTGAAATTTCAGAAATGATTAAACATATTTTGCTTTTTAAGGAAAAGTAGGTATATATTTACACTGTATGATGTATGCTGCAAGAAGGTTGGCATCTTGAGGTGAACAGAGTAGTCTCCCATGGTGCAGATCTCTTCTCAACTGGAGGAACAGATAGTACCTATAACCAGAAATAAAATACATATATAAATACAAATGTATACTTAGTTGCAGCTGTAAAAAGTTGCCCCGTACTTCACTTCAGTGTTGTTATATTTTCTGGTCCTTCAGGATCATTGATGCCAACACTATAAAGTGTTGTGAATTGAGTACCGCTCAAGCCGGTGCTAGGGGGCGTGAGGGATGTTGCACTTATTCATTATCCCTCATGTACAGACTCAATCAAACCGAGTCTGCAATTCTTATGTTATTTTGTTGTGATTAATGCTTCCGAGGGATCACTTTGTTCCAGAATTTTGTACTTCACAACAGCAGGTGTCAAGTGCTGTGTGGCAGCCGTAAAAAGTTGCCCCGTACTTCACTTCAGTGTTGTTATATTTTCTGGTCCTTCGGGATCATTGATGCCAACACTATAAAGTGTTGAGAATTGAGTACCGCTCAAGCCGGTGCTAGGGGGCGTGAGGGATGTTGCACTTATTCATTATCCCTCATGTACAGACTCAATCAAACCGAGTCTGCAATTCTTATGTTATTTTGTTGTGATTAATGCTTCCAAGGGATCACTTTGTTTTTACCCTTTGAGTGCTATTAGCTAACATGACAAGCTCTTTGATAAAATTATAGAGCCAGGTCAACATGCATATTTGTGCAGTCTGAAAGAGATTCTGTGATGTGGCATCACAATGTTAATACATTAAAATCACATTAAAAAGGCTCAAACTGGAAAAGAACATTTTTCAAAACCCTCAGACTAATAAAAACATTTTTCAAAACACTCATGACTTAAAAGGAACATTTCCAAAACCATCACATTATAATGGAACATTTCAAAACTCAAAAGTAGAACAATTTCAAAATCAAACATATTGGATCAAACCAATGAATTGTTATCATTCTAGATAAACACTTTCATTTATACCTGAGAAGAACAGAACTATAAAGTTACACACCTACAGATTTTCAAATCATATTCATTCTAAAACTTCTTTCCAGACAATTTTGCTTTAATTGATTCCTTTGTATTATTGACTGTATAAATTACCATAAGTAAAAATTCAAAGTAAGCAGACTTTAAATATAAGAGAGTGCACTCTTTAAATCTTGAGAAAAGTTTGAAGGGAGAAAATAATTATAAATGCTAATTGCTAAGCCAGACAAATAAATATAAACTTGGCAGGAAAGTAGAAAGTACTTACTTATTCAAATTTCATGGACCATAATTAAGTTAAAGATGATTTGAATTGCACCAATGTAACTCTTCTAAAGAATTCTAAGAACAGGTTTTGTAATCTTTTGAGTGATTTAATCAAAATAAACAGATCATTACCACCAGTATAAAGCCAAGTCTTTGCCACTGTGTGACCTTGACCTTCTAGCTATGGGTATACCAGTATAGAGCCAAGTCTTTGCCACTGTGTGACCTTGACCTTCTAGCTATGGGTATACCAGTATAGAGCCAAGTCTTTGCCACTGTGTGACCTTGACCTTCTAGCTATGGGTACACCAGTATAGAGCCAAGTCTTTGCCACTGTGTGACCTTGACCTTCTAGCTATGGGTACACCAGTATAGAGCCAAGTCTTTGCCACTGTGTGACCTTGACCTTCTAGCTATGGGTACACCAGTATAGAGCCAAGTCTTTGCCACTGTGTGACCTTGACCTTCTAGCTATGGGTACACCAGTATAGAGCCAAGTCTTTGCCACTGTGTGACCTTGACCTTCTAGCTATGGGTACACCAGTATAGAGCCAAGTCTTTGCCACTGTGTGACCTTCAGACCTTCTAGCTATGGGTATACATCTATTACTTGCTCACAAAACATCAATTAATAAGGGTTAACATATTAGTGTACAATGTAATTTCAGTATTCATAACAAAATGACAAAACCATAGATGAAACACAAAAAAATATTCCCATCTTTGACATTTAACTGGACAAAAACACAGCCTTAAGCTACAGTGCACCTCACATTATTTTAATGAAAACATTACCTTGTAATCTCTTCATGTAACTTCATGGGATCTTCAGGATAAAACTTCACTCGAAAACAGAGAACACAGGGACTCACTCCTAAAATATACAATAATTTACATTAATACAGATTATATCATGTAGAATTTTATTGAATGTTATACATTGTATCAAAAGCTTAAGTTATAATACTAACTCCTATATTCTGTTATACTCCATTCAAGAGGATGGAAAGGATGTTGACCGTAGGGGTTCCTAACTAGTTGTGAAACCATCACACTGACTGCTGGACGGACAGACCGACTGTCAAGCGGGCTCCTATAATACCCCCCTAAAACTTTGTGTGTTGGGGTATAATGATGTTAAACCTCTATCAGTAAGCTTGCTTATCCTATTGCATGATATTTACCCCAGCTTTAATTATAATTATATATGTTATAACTATCTGTAATCTTTAAATTCCAATTTTTCTTTTTTTTGACAGACACCCATTTAAAAGATATACTATTAATTCCCTGTGTGTAATAAGACACCCCTTAATAATAATCACACTAATTCTACATTATGAAATGCCAATTGTCTAATACAGACAACTGTTAATGATAAAAACACCTATCTCCAATCAATCACTCAATCAATCACTCACCCACTCACCCAATCAAATAATCACAGCCTCCTGAATAACCATAGACAATGAAAAGTCAGTTTTATTTGTACTGTAGACAATTTTCTTGTTTCTATTTCAAAGGAATCTTGGTCTAAAGTCAAACTTTAATGAATGAATTTCACAATAAATCCCAATCTTAATGACATGCATATCCCTTCCCCAAGAAACACAATGCCTCAATCTGTAAGTTAAAATCACCCATGGGTATTGATATGGGCTTAGTTTTATCATTTTCATCAGCATAATGGAACCACATGCAATGATTTTTTTTTTCCTTATTCTTTCTAACCCTGTATTCCTTAATCAGGAAATATTTGTCTTTAATCCAAAATCAATTCTTTGAACTATGGGACAGGTTGGCAAAGCATAGCTATAGATTACTTGCGAAGCTCAATTTTATACATTTCTTGAAGCTTTTCCTACCTTCCAAATCACAAAAATTAATGTGCTCAAAACATACAGTTTAACATGGGCCCAAAATAGCTCATTATTAACAAATTCTTGATTGAAAACCAAATCATAATCTTTCATTATACACAGTATGTTATTAAATCAACTCCTGTCTTCTGCTTTGTTTTTAGGGAATCTCTAAAATTAATACAAACTGTAATTAATTTATACAAACACAAAGTATATACATTGTATTACATTGTATAGATACAGGTACCACTGGCAATGAAAAGCTTCTTAGTATTTCAGATATTTTTCTGTTTAATATTATGAAAATGACTTATCAGACTTCAAAAGTAATTATGAAATACTAGGCTTGATTTAACAAAAAATATTATAGTAAAAAAAGACAAGTTAATAATATAAAAACTTCTATTTCTAACATATACCTACCAATTAAATTAAAATTTTTGACATATTTTTTTATCTGCTTCCCAGTAGAGCAATTTGTGTAAGTAAAATTTGCACATTAATGAAGCAGACAGAATAACAAACAAAACTTGTTATGAAATACAATCATAAAATTAAATATGAATTAAGAATGATTGATAAATAGCTTTACAAGACTGCCCTCTAAAGAGTCTATAATTATTTTGGTTTTGGAGTGAACAAATTAACACTGCTGTATAAAGATTTAACAATGACACAGTATGTTGATCAGTGGGCAGCGACATGGACTGGAAAAATTGATTGTTTCCCTATATATCTTCCTGATTATTGACCTACGTGACAAAACGATCAGCCTTCGAGACTGTACAAATGTTTATCCAGCTCTAACACTTCAACTTTCTGACAGTTTAGATCGGAAAATTCAGACTCCAGTAACATGTAAATCAATCAAATAGAAATTTTAAGAGGCTATCCTTTCCGAACTCTCCTAAGTTTTTTGGGATTTTTTTTTTTAAAAACTAATTTAGTTTAAAGCATTTGCGAAAATAAAGAAACAAAACTTTACTGTTAAAACAAACAAAACAAGAGTTGTAAGTAGGACAGCACACTCGATTATTCTAAGTGCTTGATAGTAAAAGAGCCTTGATAATGTAAAAGTTCACAAAAGGGCCAAATTGTTTTATATCCATGGAAGGTGTCCTCTTATGCTCACAAAGTAGTGTATAAAATTCAACTTGTTTCAAAGCCAGATGTCAATGAAATATGAAAATATCTGAGGTGGTAAGCAAACTTAAATGTAAATTCTAAGTCGAAAAAGGGGCATAACTCTGTCAAAATGCTTGATAGAATTACTTCCTCCTGTCTACAGATGCCGACGCTCGGGTGACTAGAATAGCTCTACTTATTCTTATCAAACAGTCGAGCTAAAACGTAATCTACAGGATGGTTATTCTGATACTAGCTTCTTACTGAACTAAGATTGCTTATTTTAATATACCATTGAGATCTAACATCTTTGTCAATTATCTTGACTGAAGACAAACTCATGCCATTCCAACACCATTTCTTCTGTCAGAGAAGTTACCAAGTATGCCTGTCACATATGCATTAATTTAAATTCTCACAATTCATGATCAATACTCATATTCTCATTTTCTTACCTGACATTGGCCCTTTGCATGTGGCCTTGGACAGAGGGAACTTACTATGCCTAATAAGTGCTGAACATTTGTGCCAAGTAAATTAGTAATCTGTCATTGTATGAAGAAGTTTCTGTATGGCAAGTGTGGCCTTGACCTTTGACCTACAGACCTGATTCATGTATGCTATGTCTCCTGATGGTTAACATTGATTTTGTGTCCTGTTCGAATTCTGACCTTTGTAACCTAGCAACACTATGTCTCATGGTGAAGAACATTTGTATCAAGTAATTCTTAAATTCATCATACATGTGGAAGATATGCTTCATAAAATCTGGACATTTCATCTATTCTGATGGCCTCGACCTTGTATATATTAATGGCAAGATTCATTCTCATGATTGCGAACATTTTTGATATTTATATCCCTCAAGACTATCAAATTGTCCATATACACATTTTCATTTTACCTTTGACCTCTAAGACCTGCATTTGGTGTGTGACACACCCCCATACTCTGGAGAGTTACATTAAAATCTCTTATTTGTACCAAATAATACTTAAAGCATTCCATGCATGAAGAAGATTATTCTCAAGACAAAACTGGATGCTTCTAAAAAGCAGTTCAACAGTTTGAAATATCAATTTTCTTTGATATATGACATAATTTGCTGGGAATTTAATGTGACAATTGCTATTTTTCTTTGAATACAGTTGCTATAGTAACAACTAGATGAACGTCACAAAAGGACAAGAAATAATGATGGATATAAATAAGGAAAAGAAAACAATATCTTTCACAAAATTGGCGTTTTCCATTTCAGGAACGTAAATGAATATGCAATACTTGTGAATTTAAAACTGCCATTCACAATGAAGACCAATGACACATGGAGAGTTAAAGTGACAATATCTAATATATTTTCATCATCCCATGTCTCTACTTCATTCTAAGAAGAAATACAGCATGTCGAGTAACTGAACTGTTTTATTACACAACAAAATTAGTTTTCTCTCAAAGATTACAACAGTGACCCGAGACCAATAATTGTCACTGTGAAATAAGTTTGCTTATGTAACTATCTTTTCCTCAAATTCTTCATTTTAAACGCTGAAATGATATTTGTACACTTATGCATAAAATAGCTCTAATTAGAATCTTCTTTTACTTAATTCATTTTATTATGTGTGGTGAAACACAACTGATACTGATTAACTGCAGAAAGTAAATCACCTATGCCAATAAAATGCCTATAAAATAACTTAAATTGTTCTTCAAAAAAACAAGTTCCTTGTAATTAGATTGATAGCTCAATAACACTGACTTAATTAACTTAACACTTCAAACAATTTGTCACCTAAAGAACTTGGGGGTTCTAAAAAAGATATTGCTAGTGATTCTATTATTACTTTGATAAACTGGCACGGTTCTGAAGAAGGAGTTTTACTTTGATGTCACAACACCAGCAATATTGTGTACATGTCTATGATGCAACATTGTCACAGGTGTGTCAACTTTCTCTCAATACCTACAACAATATATGCAGCTTCTACATTCATATACCTTGACAACAAAGGTTTCATAAACTAGACAATAATATTGACAATAGACCTCTATGTTTACACAATTTCACCATGGTGAATATTTTTGTATCAATTATGTCCCCCCACATCCCCCTCCCCCCACCAAAAAAACAACCTTTGACAACAGAAATATTATCCTGACAACCTGTGTTTATGACCAATATGTGGCATTTTCCCTACAATTGTGACCTTATAATCTGACCTTCAACTTCTAAATGTGACCTTGACCTTTAGACTATACATGTTGCAACAATTCATGACATGCTGACATTGTCATCATGGTGAAGATTTTTTTTTTAAAATCAAATAATAGAATGTGCCTCTGAAGTCTGGAAATTAGGGACTATTTCAGCAATATATTTACAGTAAAAAACTGAGATTATGTACATCAATAACTAAAGCCATAGACCATGTCCTCTGATTTATTGATCTTAAAGCCTACAATGCATTGAAATAACTGGAGAAAATTTGATCAACATCACCTCACATAAAGTATTGTTTCTAGTATGTCTTAATTAGGAAAACATGTTCCAAACAATAACCCTAACTGGCCTAAGTATAATTTTACATGCCATAAACACCTCCTAAAACAAGAAAAGTTTTATTTTGCACTTTAGTAGTGACATATCAGCTTAATATCCATTAATTCCCATAATATATACCAGGAGCCAATTAGCCAATGATTGACACAAAATTTCAGCAGAAGGTTTAAGGGTAAGCTTTCTGTCACAAAATTTTAACAGTTAAATGTTTGAAATCAATATTGTCAAATTGATACTTTGATTGCTATAAGCGATAATGAATTGTCTATAAGTCCACTAGTTTGGTCATGTAAGTCTTTATACATGTATTTGTTTAGTCTGACCAGACTCATTTACATAAATAACATAAACTTTAAATACAGTAAAAAACCTGAAAACCGAACGTTCTGAATACTCCAGGAATCCTCTGAAAACCAGACTCTGCCCTGAATTGACCAAAAGTCTGTTTTTCAGGGAATTCCAGTTTTCAGGAAGTCCAGTTTTCAGAGTTTTTACTGTAAATAGAAGTCAATTACTATTAATTCAGCAAGGTAAATTGTGAACAAGTTAAAGTATATCAAAGGTTAAACTTGAATTTACTGATATCCAATGAAATTTTAACCTTACAAGGGACTAAAGGAAACTTGTGTCAAATTAAGATCATTCAAGTTCAAGCTTACTGAGTGTTGGTTGCTTGTTTGTGCATGCAATTTTGCACAAGGGGCACCGGAGGTCTTCCTCCAACAAGAAAGCTCAGCCGGGGAAACTGCCAAATGACTTTTAACATTGTCTGTGTTACTTAAAATCTAATATATTAATATGTATACAAGAAACAAAGAAAATTCATAGAAATAAGCAAAAAAAAGGTTACCTTTTAACTGTTTGTATACAGTCTTTGTTGGGTCTAGCCAGTGCTGAAAGACAACAAAATATTTCGTAATAACTATACAATTGTACATAATGTGAAGTAGAATTTCTACATTGTTTCAATTATCATTTAACCTGCAGGCATAGAAGCAATCATTTAATATTAGTGCAGCATTTAAATAATTGACAATAATTACTAAGAGACTATGGTGAAGTATAGTTTGTAACATTCCATATATATTCTAAATATTCGATATATCACATGAACGTTACTGGAAGCATATAGCACTTCACATAGTACAAGACTTAGATATTTTGAAAATCAAATCTTTACTCCTTGCTAACAAGAGTGCCAAGATGGCCCTTAATTGCTCATCTAAGGATAATGGTTTGCATGGATAGGTCATTACTATTAAGTTTCTACCTAATCTGCCAAGTGGTAGAGAAGGAGATATCATTTAAGTCTTATTTCTTTAATATTAGCTTGCACTTCAGCAACTGTAATGATTTTATCTTTTTTGTAAGCATCATCCTAAGACAATTCCTATTATTTGTAATCAAAATTTGGTTTAATTTGAGTAGGACGTCTTGTATAAAGCCCAGTTCTATTTTCAAATCTGACAGCCAATTATGTCATTAGCATACTGAGTTTAGATTGTTGTGCAAAAGACCACCAAAACTTAATTCCTGGTGGAAGGGGAAAACTACAAGCACATATATGACAAAGGTAAAGCAACTGGTTTCATTATTATGCATAAGCAATCATTTTCTTAACTTGATTTTAAAGCAAATGTTAAAATGGTGCCAACATGCATTCTCCAATTTCTAATCTGCAAGATCTAATCATTTGCCCATTAAGCTTTTTCTAAAAGCTCCATATATGTTAATATGCGATATTTTTCTCAGGTAATTAAAGCAATTCTATTTCTTTCCCTTTTAAGGCTGTATGTATAATAGAAGCCCTAAACAATTCTGTAAAACACTGTTTATATCAACTTTGTCTGGAAGCTAAATATGTAATTGATATGTTCCTTCATAACTATGGACGAACTTTGTAACATCCCTTCAACCCAACAAATAAAACAAGCCTAATATTCCATATATAGCACCATTAAACTATCTATAAATAAGTAAGAACTATGTATAGGGCAGCTAGGAGCCAAAGGTCCCAGGATATTAACCAATACAAACACCTCTGATGTACTGGCATTTCCCCCCAAAGGTTAATAATCAGCAAAAATGGCCAAATATCGTGCAGTGAGGAAATAAAAAAACATTGATCTAGGATAGAAAACTATCTTCGTATCATAACTCTAAAATCAATGCCTTATAAAGTATCTAAATGTACATGCCTAGAAAAAAAAATAGCATTTTTCTTCTTTATAGAATATTCATGTCCTTTTTTCTTTTTTTTTTACTATCAAGCGTAACATTTATTATTCTTTTTTTTTAAGTCAAATTCTTCATAAATCAGTTAAACAATAAGTTTATTTTCATGCCAACTTACAGTGGACCTTTCTAATACGGGGAAGTCAAAGGCTTTGGCTTGCCCGGCTATAGACTATATGTGTATATTTAAAAGAAAATCAAATAAAAAAAAAAAAATATGTATATAGAATTCTATACCTATCAATCAAACTTTCAGTGTCAGTTCTAGTTAGGCGCCGCCATTTACAATGTAACTCAATGATAAAAGACGGTGTATTCTGATAACGGAACAAATCTCAACTTTTCGGATAAATAATAAACATCGAGTGTTCCGAGTGAAAACGGAAGTGGTGCATGAAATACCGAATGACACTTTTAAAACGGAAAAAAAGAAAGGAATTTTTAGCGACTTCCCCGTTCATAGGCTTTGCCTAATTTCATATTATCAGTTTGTCTGTATTATATGGATATACTATTCAATTAACTAGTGTTATAACTATTTCTGTATAATTCAGATTGTCCACAATCATTTTTTGGTAAATTACGCTTGAAATCATTTTTTCAGTAATTTAAGCTTCCTTCTCTATCATCCATTTTTCTCCTAAAAACCAATTCCATGTTCACTTTCCCTAAACTTAAAAGCAGTTCTTTGAATTTGTATTATTCCTTTCTTTATAAATCTTGTATCTTGTTAAGCTTTCTTTTCTTTGTACTGCTACACATTGTCCAATTTATCTTTTTCTGTCTTTCTTTCTTCTCTTATTTTATCATTAATTTTTCAGCTGAATCTTACAAAAGCATTTTCTTATTCAACAATTTCAAAGATGTTTACCCATTTGTAAAAAGTGAAAGAAACTGTAAATGACAAAAGCAAATTTAATCAGTAAAAATTTGTCAAGAATTCAATAAATCATATAGAACGTTCAATTTTAAAAGTCAAACACTCATATACTCAATGTTTTCAAGAAAATACTTTATACATTTCAAATATAAAATACAAAGTAGTCAGGCAACTACAAAATAAGTAAGATACCCTTTGTTTTATCATTGCCAAAATGCAAACATTTTTGGAGAATAGAAATTAGTTGGTACCCTTTGTTTTTAAAATCAACAAATAGATGGAAAATTCCTTACCCTTTGGTTCTAAAACTGTTCTTACAATGGCAATAATTAAAGTAAATACTTCCGGAACACTAATAATTACTTATAACAATATAAAGTAGAATATTTACAGAAATTCACTTACCCTTTGTTTTTCAGCATCGACAAATCTGAGACCAAAGTAATCCTTTTCCACAAGATTCAAAGAGTCGCATACTTTATCCAAAACTTCTTGTCCAACCGTCTCTTTCTGAAAATACACAAACAGAGAACACAAATATAAGTAAAGATTGTTGTAATTGTTATCTTTTTAACAATGTTAAATGCCATTTTATTTCTATTTACCCTAAGTATCAGATTTGTATAACGATATAGAAATTTGCATTACTATACTATAAAATTATAGAGAATTGCATCACTACATAGAGATTTGTATCACTATGTAGAGACTTGTATTGCTATATACAGATATTTGTATCACTATAAAGAAAGTTGTATTACTCTACAGATATTTATATCACTATAAAGAAAGTTGTATTACTCTACAGATATTTATATCACTATAAAGAAAGTTGTATTACTCTACACAGATTTGTATAACTATATATAGGTTTATATTAGATTGACATTTGCATAGATTTGTATCACTTTACAAAGATTTGTATCACTTTATAGAGATTAATATCAGATTTATGTAGCAATAAAGATTTGTAAAGATTTGTAACACTATGTAGAGATTTGCACTATAATGAGATTTATATTATTTAAGACTTTATAGTCATTACCTTGTCACACAGTCACAATCTTGACCAGTCACTAACATGACCAGTCATTACCTTGACTGAGTCATCATGATCAGTAATTATTTTGACCAGTCACTATCTTGACAAGTCATTATCTTGACCAGCAGTTATTATCTTGACCAATCATTAACTTGACGAGCTGAAGTTGAAGTGAGTCACTATCTTGACTAAACGTTATTTTGACTCGTAAAAATCTTGATTAAGCATTTAAAAGGTTGCTTTCTAAAGGTGACACTTGTATGATAGAATAAAAGAAACAATATACGGTAGCTCCTGCTGAAGGTTATCTAGAACTATATAAGGAGTGTATGATCTATCTGAAGCAAACATTGTAAAGGTTAAAAACAAGGAAATACAATTTCCATTCAATAGCAACTTTCAAATTGTCCTTAAATAGAAACACACAAGTTATTTTCTTCTGTCTGTAAAAAGTTTTATTACTTCTGCGGTCAGGTTAAAAATATAAAATTTAATCTATCATGATTCAAATGCAGCTTGGCTTTTACATAAACTAATAAACATCAATGCGTAATTTCCAAGAATAAAACTACATGTATTCTATTTATAAAAAGTCACTATAAAGGTCAAAAGTATACATTTTATTAAGCACAATCAGGTGAGACTTTGATTAATTCATTTAATCTATAATAATTGCAGTTTCTATTACATCACAATCAGTTTATTATGATTAAAAGCATGATGTTTGAATTTAACACCAACAAACTCACATGATGAGAGTTAAAAATGCAAAATACGAAGCCAAACATGAGCACTGTATGCTATTGTGAAAGCTCTTCTAGTTAGGCATTCCTACAATAACCAATTATGCCAAAAATTCAAAGTTAAAAAGAGTCATAACTCCAAAAATATGGCTTTCACAATAATGCCCCTTGTTTAGCACATACAAATTGTCATGATAAGCAAGTATTCTAAGTTTTTTTCATGTTGATAACTTTTTAAAATGTTTTAATAATGAGCCACAATAAATGATGTCACAACAAGGATGATGCAACTAATACTTAAGCCATCACATTATAGCTGGACCTTTTCTTTGAAACAGACAATCTAAAACAATTGCATCTAGAATGAAGCAACAACTTGTCGCAGACTGGCTGCCCCTTTACTTCACCCTCTATTTTTTACTTATAATATATAATAACCCTTATTTTTGTACCAATATATTACAGCAGCAGTCTGCAGTCCTATAATTTGTTAAAATTTTATGATTGAGTATTATTCTCTATGGAATATTTTCCTTATTCAAAATGTCTGTGATACACTATATCATGTCCTAAAAGAGCCTGGAACTGACAAGATCTTATTTGCATATAAATAGCTTGCTAACCTGTTATAAATTGTGGACTGCAAACATGAAAGTGTAATTTTATGGTGATATATGATAAATCCCTCTCTACAATGACCCAGGAATCCATTTCTGACCAAGTGATTCATGTATTACTTTAAATCTGTCTATTAAGTTCCTGGCATCAAGATTCTGTGAATCTGTTTTAATTGTGAGTTACACTTCAACCACTGAGATTGGATGAGTATTATATACTATAAGCATAATTGTAACAGCATCAGAGAATGAGTATCAGGTGTCATATAAGATTCAAAGTACTAAAGTACTGCATGATATAATTATTAGGATCTACCTAAAGGAACCGGATTTCTTTAGGGGCTATGTTACACAGATTAAAGCCTCCTGATTAGCTCTGTGCTAGGCAATATTAGCTACAAATATTTTAAATATATTCTGGCTTTGTTGAAAAATACCACAGAAATGTTTTTTTAGTATTTTTTATACAACGCAAAAAATATTTATTTTTTTGTATTTTTAAAATTTTATTCCGTTATTTGTAAACTACCGTATATTGTTAAGCAAATGGACATTGTAAATCTGAAGCATAATCCAAAAGAAACCAACCAATGAAAGTAACAGTTGAGACAAAAATGAATTCTCTAAAAATTTACATTTCAATAACTAAAATGTAAAGTAGTGTGGTATTATACTTGAAACAATCAATATCCTGACCATCCCTTATACTTGACCATGTAACATCAGATGATTAAATTTTAATGACAATGTTCACACAATATTCCATAGACATTCAAACAATCATTATGTCAATATAAATAGAGGCTAGATTATTGTTATACAATACCAAGACAGGAAAACATTTACACGTCTCACAAATTTTTTTCCAAATAGTATTCAATAGCTATTTCATAACTGAAAAAGCCATCCTTTGAAACTGCATGTTAATTATGTTATGCACAAACAATACAGGTCTATCATATAGACTGAGTGTTTTCAACAGTCTGTATAATAAGAGCAATGTAGGATTTTCTCACAAAGGGGAACAATTCAGTACAAATTCATGTCAGAGTTACAGGTTGTTTTCTATGACCCAGATGACATGGTGAAAACATAATTAGATTTATACCTTCAGAAATTGCAGATGAAAAAGAATCGGGAATTTTCCAAGTTCCCATAGGGGTGTAAGTCCTTAATATCTATGCTAAAATTATTTTGTTATATTTATGATCCTAAGACAGGCATGAAATATTATGCAAGTAAATAAACCTGATAAACAAGTCAAACTTGAAACACGAAACATCAGGTAAAAACAGCTGAAGTACTCCTCAAAAAGACAATAATCATGTTTGTAATCATAGGTACTGGTATGTCAATGAAATTCTAGACGCATTTTGTTGAAATCTTTACTGCAAGCTTTTAAGCATACACTTAAATAAAGTGTTACAATTATCATCATCATCAAAAGTACAAGACTCACCTTGATCCCTTTTAATTTACAGGTAACCTCTTCCATTGATATGACCTGCCGTAATTCCTGATTAGATCTCACTGATATTCCATTGCGACCATTACAATGGGACATAACTCTTGGAACAACAGAATTTTCATTGTTGCCATTGGCAACCTTTACATAAAAATCTTCGTTTTCCTCCATTTTGTAGGTCACATATTCGTGCTGACATGTCGATCTTCCATTTGTTATTTTTTTCAAAACAGAATTCTATATTTTACAAGTTCCTTCATATATTTACTACTTCCAACATCAAAACCAAATTATCTCCCTTCATGTTGGCAAATCTAGTTCTATGTAGCAACATACTAAATGTCAAAGTATCAACAAACAATGATTTTATTACTGTAAATCATCTTGTAAATGTGGATCTATACAAGTTGTATTTCAATAAGTCAAAAAAAAATCAAACAACAAAATAGAAGAACTTAAGAAATATGAATGTTTTCAATGCTTAAACTTACCATACTAAATAACTTAAATGGACTTGTCCATCTATCAATCTGGGAAAGTTCATTAGGAAATTTCGAAATAGTTACTGAATGAAGCCTTATTCTAAGCAAACAGTGCAGACAACGATCAGACGGCACAGAATGATCACTGGCGGGTTATCATGGTCAGTGCACTGATTGCTGACCTTCAGTACATTATAAAACAGGACTCATACCATATAACTATAATATATACAACATAAATCTACGCCAGAGTTAAATCAAGTACATTATTACATCAGATATTAAGTAAAATGTCAGACTTTATGGAAAATATTGTATTTTAAAGACATCAATATAGAATCCGTATCATAATACATGTATCATGTGAAGATATCAAAAATTAATGTTATTAAAAAATGTCATTTAAAATAGATTAGATCTTTAAGAGAAATATCGCATGTAAATGTAAAATATAAAGACTTTATATAAAATACCAGATTCTGTTGTCCTCTTGTACAATTTGCATCAATATTATGTGAAATTAATTAAATTAAATTACAAAATTAAATTTTAAAGCAAAATACATTATAATTGTCAGATTATCAATAATATTTCAATTTAACCAAGAACAACTAAATCAAACAAAATGTAAATTTGTACAAGTTTATATATATAATCCAATATTCCATAAGATAAAATAATGTAAAAAAGCACCTTGCAATTTGGTAACAATACTTGTATATGGTTTTGCTGGGATGTAAAATCATATTTAACCTCCAATTCCAAAAAATATCACAAAACCTAAACCCAATCAGTTTTTAAATCACAATTTCTCACATAATCAAACCCATAGTTTCTAAAAAAAAAAATTCTGTATTACAATGATGTCACTATAGTTACACAAATCATAGATTTCCCCTATCCATCAATCAGTTAAAATAAAAATCACATCTTTGAATATTCTATTCTATGAATATATTATGTCAAATATGGCATGAGAAAAAAAATCCCACATCAGAATGTTTTGTATGGCAATAGGAGGAAAACATGTTATGCCCAAACATGCGGAAAGGAAGACATAGTAAATAGGAAAACTGCGGGAAATTACAGCAAAATATATTTGTGAAGAAGCCAGAAAAAGCCTGACAGGAAAGCTTAACAAGTATTCTTGTCCTATCAAAA